TTTAAATAATTGAATTTTAAAATGAATAATATATTTTTTATTAGTAACGTAATAAATAAACAGAAGTACGACGCTACGACTTGCTTTAACTAAACTTTCATTTTCAGATCTTCAATTGTGATTGCGTGCAATGCAATCTTTTAGAGTCAGTGTTTGTTTCGAACGAAGTTACATTTTTGCTATGCAATCGCATAGATTGCTTTAAAAATAATTACTAAACTCGATCACATTTAAAATCAATACAAGAATTTATTTAAATATTCTTGTTAAATGAAAAATAATTTGGTCGGTAAGCGTGATTAGAATCATTAACACACTTTCGGCCAATTCGGTAGAAGAGGATTTACGTTTTCGATAAAAATATTGTCATGGTCAAAAGTGTGAATTAATATCTTTGTTTCTTCTGGATCATCTTTATCAACGAATCTGGGGCTTCGTCTGGATAAATCAACGGTTGTTAGTATTATCTTGTAATCTTAATTATTACTTCTCATATATATTTTTCAAATCATGATTGTTTTTATTCATGAAAAATGTTTAGAATGATGTGAAACATAATTAATTTTATATTGCATTTTTGATTTCAGATCAATCATCAATTCAACGATTCAACGATACATCGATTCAACAATTCATCCAATTTGAATCCACTTCACGACATCATTCAACCAACAGCGAGGGGGACGAGTGTTTTGGAGCCATCGCAGAACTTCTTAAACCGTGAGTTTTTATTTAAAGTCCCTCCTGGGCTCAATCATGCCGAAAATGAAAGGTTCTAATCGGCACGAGTAACTGGTTGTATTTATTTAAATAAATTATTAATTTAAACATCTTTAGTGTCTTATAAAAAATACGCTATGGAGAATACAATGTAGGTTTATAATTTTACATTTGTATTGACATTACTTTATGGTCACGTTTAGGACCAGATTAGCAGATCGTAAGTAGGGATGACCCTTTTTATTGCGGGTGAGCTATAAACAACTAAAAGGGTTATTTTTATGCGGAAAGTAGTAAAGGGATGATTTGTATTTACCCAATTCACAATAATTCAAGAATTCCTTTGAAGACAGTGCCAACAGTTTTTATTGAATCCTTATGATCATCTTCTTTATAGACATCCTGACATCCACCCTGACTAGGAAAAGTCTATGGTTAGTGACTATCGCGCAATAAAGGGAAATATAAAAATCAATTGGAGATATGTAAAAAGTACAGATACGTAAATATATGCACACATATATAGGTAGACTTTGATTTTATATTTAGACTAGAGATTTATAAGGAAATAAATAAAAGAAGTTTAGGAAAAGTAGAGATTCAGAATGTGTGTAAAATTGTAAAAAAGAACGAAAATTGGTGGTATTGCTAGAAGAGAGAGTGCGCGGCTTACTTGGAATCATCTCTCTTAATTCGCAAGCGCAGGGGTGTTGCGTTATCATCCCTCTCTTGACGTTTCTTCTCTCTCTCTCTCTCTCTCTCTCTCTCTCTCTCTCTCAATACCTCCTCTTTCGGTGTCGCGCAAAACGCAGGAAAACGTAACGTGTTTTATCGATCTCGTTGTACAGGGGTCGGCCATGTTCACGTTTGCCATCGGTCAGGCGCACTCGCATCCTACCTTCTCTGTAGAAGAGCCGTGTTACGGATAGATTTTCCATCGTTCTACCATCGTCGTTAATGTCGCAAGGGCGTTTTCGACGATAAAGACGAAGACGAGGTGGACGAGAAGGATGTGTTTCTAATCGCGAAACGACAAATTGTGCGAGTTATCAGTCCCACCATCAACATTAACGTCTATAGTTTTGTCCTTCTTTGAGAGAATACAACCGACGAACAATCGATCAGTTACGTTCATTTCTTTTTAATATTGTCTATTCTTCCATCGAACGACGGAACAACGACGAGGTTGAATTTTGGCTTGGCGAACAACACATTCACCAAAAACTGACGTTAAAATAAGGAATATTACATTTAGTAAGTACATCTATTTCCTTATCTCTCTCTCTCTCTCTCTCTCTCTCTCTCTCTCTCTTTATCTTTATTTAAATTCTGAGTTCTTTAAATGGATGAATAAATAAATATATCTATATGCATATATTATATGTATATCTTTTTGTATATCGGTTATTCGTATAAGCAAGCGGCTATCGAAATGGTGATACGCCACGCTACCTGAAATCGATATTTCTCTTTTCCTCCCTCTCTTTCTCTTCCCTTTACTCCCAGCTTACCGTGATTTTTCGACCTAAATTCGAGAACCTATTTCAATTCGCTTTACATACGTAATGTTAGATGAATTATCTCTTTGTTTCTCTCTCTCTCTCTCTCTAATCTTTATTTCCTTGTTTAGTTTTCTGGATTCCTTTCCAAATCACATCGTCGTTTGAAATTTTGAAAGGCTTCTATGAATTTCACTCCCGCACGTCGTTCGATTATTTCGTACAAAATATACAATGCATTTTATTTTCTAACTGAATTAAAGAGAGTATAAGACGTATTTTTGATATAAGTTATATAGTTACCATGTATGTACGACTTCATATTTAATGCGTGATCTTATTAAAGATTTTCTCTGAACGCTTCTTTAAATGGGAAGGGAGGGGGTAGAATATTCATTCATGTTGGAAGGGCGTTGGATCGTAAAGATTGTGGAGGAGACGTCCTTCTGAAAAGGATGTGGATAATACTACGATAGTATTAATTGTAAATTGTAACCATTGTCTTATAAGGGGGGAGAAGATATAGAGCCGAGCGTTAGTGAACGTGAGGATAGATAGAGTGTCAAATCTTTTCTTTGTAATTATCATATCATTATAATTTATCAGCTGGACAGGTAAAACGATTTAAATAATAGCTTTTGCAAATGGTTTTACACGGTTTACTCGGATAATAACTATTGAACGATAACACGAACGACGCTTTTTTAATAGTATCTTTTTTAATCATTTTTGTTTAATAAGAGTTATCATAACTTTCCTCGTCGAGTTTTCAAATAAATCACGAGTTCACAGTTAATTCAGCTACTTGCAAAAATCCTTTAAAAATATGTAATAATGTACGGTGATAAATATTACTGGACCACCCGAGTCTATAACTATCCGCTTGGTATCGATTTGCCTTCCTTCAAGTATGTATACTCATGACGAATACAAACGTAGGCATATACATACGACCATAAATGTACATTATACTGAAATGAACTCTGGTTAGTTCACACGAATCTGATTCGAATATCATTATACATTTTCATTTGAAATAATATCAATCAGAGAATGATATTTAAATAAAAAAAAAAATATATATATATATATAGACAAATATTGAAAAATAGAACACGAATTAAAAAATGAGAAATTTGTAAGTGTTATGTAAATGCACTTGATATGCATAGATTGACTTAGAAATGCTTTGAAAAGTGAATGTTAGTGTTAGAAATGTTCTATATATAAACTCAATACTTAACATTTTATAGGTATTAAGGGTAGGTAATAAAAAAGAAGCACTAACGTGTATAGGATAACCTTTGCTATCGTTCGTGACGGTTCATGAACAAATTCATGAGGTGGTTAAATAATCCTGTTGAAAGGTATCTGTATCGATTTTACATACGCACATGTAAGATGCTGCTATTGCACGAAGAAGCACGTAAAAAAGATATAACGAAACAGGAAAAACATTGAAACATTAACTTATCCTGTTGAATTAAGGAAAAGAAGTTTTGAAAGGAGAAAAAACAGTTGGACCTACTAACTAAATGGGAAACCTTATTCGTCACAATAATTACTTCCTGTCATGATCGAATCATTAAGATTTTTTCCGAATATTTAAGTAATTACTCTTAAACATGGATTTTAAGATTTATACTTATTTATCCGTTAGATTTTTTGTATAGTTAGTCTTTTTTAATCGATTTCATTTACAATTAGAGAATATGTGTAAAAACGTAAGTTGTACGTTATACTCGTAGGCGATAAAAAGCAAATGGCACTTGTTAATGGACGCTTTGAAATTGTGCAGAAAATGCCACCTTTTAAAAGGGAAGCGCCGTCGGAACCGGCACCTGTAGCAGCTACTTCGGAAAATGTCGAAACGCAAGAGGAGACGTCGAACCTTCCTCAATTGACGTTGAAGGCTATGACCAGTACCGAGGAGGCAGCAAGAAGCGGTGAGTTTCTTAAGAATATATATATATATATATAATTCCATTATTCGTATTATTTTAACACATTAATAAACATATTTGTTTTCAGAGACCGAGTCGGAAGTCACTACAGAAAGTACAATGAAAAATCTGAAGGATCAACTCGGAACGCTATCGAAAGATCTGGCCGAAGAAATGGGAATACCAACGTGGGGTTTAGTCGCAATTTTAATAGGTAGGCTCGAATTTCGAAATTATATCGTTTAGGCGCTTTATATAAAAAGGCACTATTATATTTAATCATGATCAAAAGAGGAAATAAAAGTCACAAGTATAATAGTCCGACGACATGAGCTTTTGCGAGTAAAAGTAATATATAAAAAGACAAAAACAAATGAATCTGCATATGTATGTGCATAAGGACATCCATCCATCCGTGCTTCCATCCGTGCTTCCATCCGTGCTTCCATCCGTGCTTCCTTACAATTCTATTTCATTACTTTTCTTTTTCTTGACTTTTGTTATTCGAAAAGAGAATCACTCAACACCCCTTGCTAAATAATAAATATACCTATCTATCTACATAATCGTCGTAGCGAAATCCTTTCATCTATTCCATCATTCGATTCCTTTCTAATGGTTTACTCGTTACTCAGCTGTCGGCGTAGTCGTCCTTGGAATTTGTTTCTGCTGTATAAGAAGATGCTGTCGCAAAAGACGTTCCAAGGATGGTAAGAAGGGCCTAAAAGGAGCGGTAGATTTAAAGTCAGTTCAGCTACTTGGAAGTACGTATAAGGATAAGGTACGTACTCGGTGTACCGTGTTTATTAGTAGATATTAGAAATAAAATTCTACACACGTGGAATCCATTTCGATGTCCTTAGGTACAGCCTGATATGGAAGAACTCACGGATAACGCGGAAGAACCTGATGAAGCTGAAAGCAAACAGAGCGAAGTCAAGCTCGGAAAGCTTCAATACAAGGTAGAAAAAGAAAATAGAATCAAAGATACAAAAACGTTCTTTTTGCAAGACAATAAATATATAATATATGTATATTATAATGACAATACACATGCATATATTTAATTCATCTTTTTTAAGTATTGAATTTGGTTTTTTAGCTCGAGTATGATTTCAATTCAAATAGTTTGGCAGTGACGGTAATACAGGCCGAAGAATTGCCAGCTTTAGACATGGGTGGCACTTCTGATCCTTACGTTAAGGTATACTTGTTGCCCGATAAGAAAAAAAAATTCGAGACAAAGGTTCACAGAAAGACTCTGAGTCCTGTCTTCGAGGAGACGTTTGTTTTTAAGGTCTGTCTCATTTTAATTCGATTCATTTATAATAGTAGCACCACACGACGATTCATCGACGATTTTATATTTGTTGTTGTTTTTTTATATCGTTACAGAATGTACCCTATGCGGAGGCCATGAATAAAACTCTAGTATTCGCAATTTTTGACTTTGATAGATTTTCAAAGCATGATCAAATCGGTGAGGTGAAAGTACCATTGTGTCAGGTTGATCTCGCACAGACCATCGAGGAATGGCGAGAATTGCAGAGTGTTGAAGGAGAGGGTGGTCAGGTAGGTTAGATGAAAATTATTCATTCGTCAGAACATGAATTTATTTAATCGAATATCGCAAAATACAAGAGATACACGCGTAAAACTATGTTCATTTCTTCCTTTTTATTGGATAAAAAAGAAAAACAACACATCAAAATGGTACTGCTTAAAAGAAACAAATAATTTATTGCAGGATAACAAACTAGGCGATATTTGTTTCTCTCTGAGATATGTGCCAACGGCTGGTAAACTCACGGTGGTCATTCTCGAAGCTAAGAATTTAAAGAAGATGGACGTCGGTGGTCTCTCGGACCCTTATGTCAAGATTGCATTAATGCAAAATGGTAAAAGGCTTAAAAAAAAAAAGACTTCTATCAAGAAGTGCACTCTGAATCCCTATTACAACGAATCGTTCACCTTTGAAGTCCCATTCGAACAGATCCAAGTAAGAAGTATATGATTTACTTGTAGAAGAAGTTAGAGAAATACATCAAATCATATGTTCATGTATTTTACAGAAAGTGCAATTGGTCGTGACAGTGGTAGATTATGATCGCATTGGTACTTCGGAACCAATTGGCAAGGTTGTATTGGGATACAACGCAAGTGGAACTGAATTGAGACATTGGTCGGACATGTTGGCATCTCCAAGGCGTCCAATAGCTCAATGGCACACACTCAAGGAACCCGAAAACGGAGACAGGAAGGATTAAATTAGTTGAAAGAATATTTAATCGAGGTAACGCCCATCGTATATTAGACATTATCGTAAATAGCCTCAAGAGACATGCAATATATCATCGACGATCCTTGTAATGATTTGTACAAATGTTAAATCTTTATTATACATTTGTACTTTATTTCATTATTATTTCAATAACTGATCCTTTTTTTTTTTTTGCAGGAATATATTGCACGAGAAAGAAACAGTAGGATGAAACAATAATATGTGACAGTGAGAGAAAGAGAAAGAAAATTACGTGAACAAATGAAAACACACACAAAAATATATATATATATATATATATATATATATATATANTATATATATATAGAGAGAGGGAGAGAGGGAGAGAGGGAGAGAGGGAAAGAAAGAGAAAGAGAAAGAAAGAAAGAAAGAAAGAAAGAAAGAAAGAAAAAAACGAACAACAAATAGACGGGCAGAAAGAGATAGGAATTAAAAAAACAAAATTTACAATTAGAAGATATTAAACGATCTATGATTAAATTAAATAACAATGAATACCACCAAAGATTTAGAATTAACAATATGTTCTCATGCAGTGTAGTGTCTTGTATATATACATGCGTATATACATACCTATATATATAATTTTACTTCTCTATGTAGATGTAAAACCATTTGAATAATAATTTCTCGAATGAATACAAACGAATTCTCTTGAAATCTACAAGAAACTTATTGAAAAAGAAAATAATCCGCAATATAAGATTTCCTACATATTTCTCAAGTGTATATACATATATATATACACACACTCATGCACGTAAATATATACATAATATATACATATGTATGTATACACGCGCGCATATTACACAATACACAACATACATACATATATATATATATATATATATTATCAAGTTATCCCGAATAGAGTTCTTTATAAAATTAAAATAAGAAAGATAATAAGAAAAATACTACCCGTAAGTAAAAGTTCTCATGGTCCTTTCGACGTTCCAGTGCAGATTTAATAAGACTCTTTGTAAAGCAATCGATATTGTTCGTGTTAAATTTGTTGGACTGATTGTAAGATGAAAAACACTGAAAATAGTAGACATTGCATATACACGCATATGTACGTACAGCACGTGTGTTACAAATGGCGTGCACGTTACATAGCCAATGCATTAACATTTCTCGAAGGAATATAAGTAAATTTTCAAATGTAATAAGAAGAAAAAAAGGCGTAATGAGCTTCGTGCATAAATAAGTAAAGTAATTAAGTAAATAATCACAAGGTACTTGTGTTTTTCGTGTACAAAAAAAAAAGAAAGAGGGAATGCGAATGTGCGAATGATTAAACGAGCGAAAGAGAGAGATAGAGAGAGAGAGAGAGAGAGAGAGAGAGATAGATGTGAATCAAAAAATATAAAAAATAATACATATTTAAAAGGATAACAACGAAGCTTCCGTCGACCTTTCGACGCCTTAATTTGCTATCCACTATCGACGCCTATGAGCATGAACAAAAATAGGAGAAAAGGGATAAGTAAACAAAATTTCCGATCGTGAGAAAAAAAATGTAAAAGCAAAATAGTTGAGAAGAAGAAAAATAAAGGAAAAAAGATTATTGAAATAAACCAGAAACTAAATACCGACAAGATGCAGAAATCGAGAGAAAGAAAAGTAGATAATGACTTCTAAGATGCTTGGAGATGACGTTAAAATCGGAGGAACATAAGTATTGCAGTACAACATAATATATATAGCGAAAACGACTAGTCTAATTTGATGAATTTCTCTTTCAAAATTGATAAAAAGAACGCGACGACGCATATATATGTACATACGCATAAACGTACTATACGTAAGTAAACACGTATTCATATATAAGTATATGTACTTATAGGGTGTTTCCTAATGAATAGTACAGCCGGGTGAAATATAATTTTATAAGTAAGAATTAGTGTAAAACAAAAAGTGTTAAAAATGTTCTTAAATTGAGGGTCTTAAATAATAATGGAATTCGCGTGTGCTCTAATAATATTGCCTTTATTCGTTCGCGTTTAACAATGGACTGCTCGTTCTTTATTCTTTTTCCACGCTCGTATATTTCGTAAAGATGCAATGAATTTATTATATTAAATTATATTACATCTGAGCAGGCTTGAGTAGTAAAAACCATTCAACTCGAAATGTTTCATTGTCACTATTGATTCATCATCTATCTCATAAACACTTATGACAAAGAGAATAAAATGCTATCGATCCTCGAGACTTACAAATGAGTAACGTATTTTTATTTGTGCTCCCGTTTTGAAGAATATCGTATTTGAAAATTTTAGCTCCGTCCGCCGTATCACCTTTTTATCTAGATGGCGATGATATTGTCGTAAAATAAATGTGTATGTAGTTGTGTGCTCGAAGATAATACGTAAATGGCAATGTATACGAAATCATAGACGAGGAAATATCTTTATGACAGATAAGACATTTTCAAAGACGATTTTGTTAGAAACGGTATCTCAGATGTATCACATCGTATCAGCCGGTTGTCCTACTCATCCAGTACACCCTCTTTATTACATATCTACATATATATGTAATAGATATACATATGATAAGTAGCACACGCGCTCGCTCGCTTACTCATACGCGATAACGCTTACAATTCTCTTTTATTTCTATGTCGCATGTATCGCGAACAAATGGGGAAATAATTACAGACAAAAAAGAGCGTTAGTCGTTTCTATGTGTTTTGTATAAACGTACACGCGAACGTAGGAGCGCATACATATACGTACATACGTGTGTATATTACGACATACACACACACACACACACACACACATAAATACCACAAGTTACAACTGCAAATATTGTTGTTATTGTTTTACAAAAAAGCAAGAAATTACAAACGGGCCTATCCTAATGTACGTACGTAAATAATCTCGATCTTACGTGGACGTGAAAGCGACGATGATGATAAAAGAGCAAAGAAAATTGTCAAAAACTAGGGGAGACGTAAAATTACGCGGATAAAAATACGATATAAAAGAGAACGCGAGGGGAAAAAAGACGGGAAATAACTTATATCCTATAAATTTAAGAATATTTGAAAATATTTTACGAATTATTATGGTAGAATCGTGTCGCTGTAATATCCGTCTTAAAACGATATTGTATTGTAAGAAAATCTTATGGAAGAGGAGGAAGTAAAAAGAAGAAAAGAGAATTGAAGAATGTAAAGAAAATAAGAAGAAAAAACAATTGAAATTCGCTGCTCTTCCGCCGTTGACGCCGACGCCGACGCCGACGCCGACTCCCCCTTCCATTAACAAAAGAACATAAGTGAAAACCGTTGTTTGGTTCTATCGTTTTTCATTCAGGACCAATTATCTCGCTAGTGCGTTTCAAATAAGGTACTCGTTATTATAAACCGTGCAGCATTATACTTAAATGAAAAAAAAAAAAAAAAAAATTCTTTAAGACGAGTTCGTAAGTTTACCACTGTTAGAATAGTGTCGTGAATTGAACGATGACATCGATTGATATTTGATCAAATAGAGCTACGAAAGAATTCCTCGAAAAGTCCTATATTTCTTCTTCTTCTTCATTTATCTCATGTTTTCTTTTAATTAGTCTTTATTTTGTTAATTGTACGAAAGAGTGGAACAACAACAACAATATGCAAAAAAGGTTGATACTGTAAGCTTTGGATATTGAGTTGATAGATCGATAACTGAACGAATATGCATATATACGTACACATATATACGTAGAAAACTAGACGTTTGAAGCATGTATAAAAGCTAGATTTTGGTAATATTCGAAAGTACGATAATTATAGTGAGCAGTATACGTAGGTCGGAAGTTGTGGCTCATACACGGTGACAGTTTATTATTATCTTCATTATAGCCTTTCCTTTTTATTTCGAAAATCTTTCTCTCTCTCTCTCTCTCTCTCGATAAAATTTCATAATTGCGGTTTTTCCGCGTATGTGAGTGAGTGAGTGCGTGCGTGCGTGCGTGCGTGCGTGCGTGCGTGCGTGCTTTTTAGTAATACGCGACGTAATGTCGGATATCAAATTGAAGGAAAAGAGAAAAGCGATTTTAAATAAAAGCGTACGCACCTGTTACCCCTATAATTCACAACGATGGCACGGACATACGTATTAGTTGTGCAATGAACAGTCGTCTTTCCTTCCTTTCCAAATGATTTTAGCGCATTCGTGTATTGCATGGTCGCTTCGTTATTAAAACCCTTCGATGTCACCGTTCACATCTTCAATATTTCTGATTGTCGCCATGAGATAAAAAACGACGAAAAGAGTAAAATTTGTTGAATTTTTGAAATTTGTTCATTTCACGACAGTTACAATGTAAATCTTGCGTTCTTTACATTTAAGATATGAGGATGCTTGTTTCTTGTTGCATAATATCTAAATTAAACGAATAATCATAAAGTAAAAAATTTATTCCACTGAAATAACAACTTTCCTATTTTTAAGGTGACGTTGCTTGATTTTATCCACACGGTCAACTTCTCTTTTTTAACGTAGAGTTTTAAACGCGTTCTCATCTTCGTTTAAGGAATAAAACAATAATAATAATAATAATAATAATAATAATAAAAAGAAAGAATATAAAATAGCAATCTTAGCAACATGCATCTTTATGAAGCGTCTCGTCTGAAAAGAAAAAAAAAATATATATATATATATATATCTTCTTCAAAGTAACAAGAAAAAGAGAGAAAGTGAGAGAATGAGGGAGAATAGTGTGTGTGTGTGTGTGTGTGTGTGTGTGTGTGTGTGTGTGTGGTGCGTGCGTGCGTGCGTGTGTGTAGAGAGAAACTGTTGAAACTCGTTTATATACATGATTATCTCGTGCAAATAAAATCTTGAAAAAAAGAAATATATAAAGACGATAAGAGAGTGGGCCGTTAGGTAAAGGGAGGAAAAGAGAGAAGAAACCCGTAAACGAAATAAGCTTGATACGATGATTGTATCGGGAAATTGTAATCATTCCATTGCATATTATACATACATATTAAGGTTTAGCGCGACAATGTAAATCCATAGAAGTTATTATTATGTCCTTAATTATTATATAATAAATATTGTTGTTAACATAAAATTGTATGAGCACGTTGTCTGGCAACGAGAAACGATGACGGATAAGGTAAGTGAATTTTTTTAATGAGAAATTCAATAAACTCCCAGCACCTTCATACATATATACATACATATATAAATATATGTGTAAATTTGTAAAGTTGCTTAATCGTATACTCTCATACTTTTACAGATGAACGAAATTGATACGCCGAATATTAAATAAATGAAAAGCAACCTTTATCGTATCGATAATACATAAATACATATTCATATGGTGGTTATTATAATGTTTTCAATAATTCTTATTCATAGATTGGCCTAAAAATGAATTTATTCGTATTGTTCCTGTGGTAAAAAAAAGTAGTCATGACAAAATAATAGAACTAAGGAAAATAAAAGCGTGTCTTGCGTGCGTTATTTTTCTGTCTACACTCTTGTTAGACTTAGAAAAATAAATAAATGATCGCTATTCTATAATTATATTGATGAGCTGCTTAAGCAAGCTTAATACTGGCGGTAAGACGATCGCTTCCGATTTATCTGTTGCTGCTTTTTTGCGGGAAGTCCTCGGGCGTACGGTCTGTGTGCGTTTGTTGACAGATAGAAGATGCCTCGTGCTCTTTACGAATGTAACAACGATGAAACAAAATAATAGATTAATATGCATATAATAATGTAATCTCTCTGTTTCAATAGATGCTATATGTATATGGATATTAAAGACTAACGTATGTGGAGCGTCCTCTCCCATGAGAATGTAGTTCTCCAATGGCGGATTGCACCAGCCGATCAGATAAGAAAAGAGATTGCCGCAGGGTGCTGCCCAAAATCCTTTCTTCGTTGTGATCGATTCTATGTAATACGGTGTTACTTTGGTGTGGTCGCAAGAGAGAGTTTCTAAATGGGAAAACTTTGATTCGATAAGTATATAATACAATGAAATACAATAGATAATTAAGAGGAAAAGTTGTTTTTCACTTAACACATAATTATCTTCGAATTGGAAAAATACATTTGGCGATCGTACTCACGGAGTAGAGAAGAGGTTGCGCATCCGGGTTGGCTAGATCCGCCATTGACATAAAAATCCGCGTGTCCGTTCGGTCCCCACTGTCCTAAAATTCCTGCACCAGTATGTATAACGTCGACGAAATGGGCGTCTGTTTCGTCTAAATCCATCGAACGATTGCCGTTCATGTAGAAAAATATCGTCGGGTCGAGCCCTATTGAATTACAAAATGCAATAGTACAACAACCAGTTTAACGACTCGAAACTTGACCAAACAAACAAACAAACAAATAAATAAATGATCATTTAGTAATGAGACTTTCTCAAATAAATAAATAAATAAATAAATAAATAAATGAATGAATGAATGATGCGACGACGACGACGACGACGACGACGACGACGACGACGACGAAGACGACAATAGTGTGCTAGATTAAATTCCAGTGAAAGTTGACGCTGTTATACCAACGCGTTTATACCAACAGATAAGAAAGCTCGAGTGAATCTCTCTTTTTCTTTTTTTCGAAAGTAAACCAGAAAATAACCGAAAGTGAAAGAAGTATATAACAGGTAGAGATATTCGTAGCACAATAAAAAATGTAAATGTAAATGATAAATGAAAATTTACCCGTTATTCTGCCGAGTTTATCGTCAGGCAAATAATTGGCTATCAGTCCAGCGATATGAGCACCTACGCTATATCCAAGAACATGAATATTGTCCACCCTTGTGCCTCGAGGATGATCCCTCAAGTACCTAACCAATTGCGCAATACATCGGGAACAGAAATCAGGGCCCCATTGTATCTGAGAGAGACAAGGCTCGCGTACCAACGTGCCGTAATCGACAATAATGATATTGTAATCGCCTCGACTAAAGTACGCTAAAAATGAAGAATTTCATGGAATTTGAACATTCCATTTTTCACATTTCTTTCTAAAGAAATGTAAATAAATGATTATTTACCACGTCTTAGATCCGTACTAGGTGCCAAGTTTCTACCTCCACCAAAGCCGTGAATAATGATCTTCGTTGGATTGGATTTGTTGAATCTAGAATAGTAGAGTGAGTCGAAACTTCGGACGTCCAAGAGTAAAGGATTTTTTTGCGTGTCTCTGTAAATTTTTCGATAAATTCATTTGATGGCAATTATTCATGAAAACGATCACCATAAGTCAAGTGTTATTTGACAAATATAAATATTACTCAAATACATTACACATGCCATGTTATACATATATTATACATATATTATACATATATTATAGATATATTATATACATCATACTACGTAGACGTCGGAGAGAAAGGTAGGTAACGAAAAGGAGGACACCACTTTCGATAGGAGATATGAGAAATGGTCGTGATCTTGAAAAGGAAAGTCTCTCTATTCGACAATTATCCGTACAAGTATCTATCTTTTTTATCTCGAGGCTTTCAGTATGTACTACAAGTTCCTACATGGTTATAATAAGTTTATTATTAGCGAACAATAATAATAATAATAATAATAAATAAAAGAAGTTACTAAAAAAATCGCTAAAAAATAATAAAAAAGATACAGAAAAATGTTGATCGCGTAAACGGTTGAGCAAGTTTACCTCGTGTACAAATAAAATTCTATTTGAGGATGTGGACACTCAAAAGGTGGCTTAGCGCACGATGTACTGTTGAAGAGGTCCTTCAGGGTTTTATTCTGTGCGCTTACGTTATCTGCGAACGAAATCAAAAAATAAAGAGATAGAGAGCATGGATCGCGTTATATGATTACCTAATACGTCGATTAAAAAGACGAGTTTAAATAAATATTTATTATCTAATAAATAGCAAAACTATTACTATTATATGGCTCTTATAGAATAGTTCATGATTATTAGATCGTTGGATTAAAACATTACGTTACATGGAAAAGAAAAAGAGAAACGAGGTAAGTGGGTGAAGGTCGAACCGTCGCAATTACTATCGACCGGCGATCACTTTTTTTTACTTTCTTTACAAGATTTTTATCTCAACCATTTATCTATTACAAGGTGTTTTCAACCTAAATTCTATTATATATTGTATTTTCCACAAGTTTCTTCCAAGATGCTGTAACCAAATAATAACTAAAAGTGCCAATTAAAATGTAATAAAATATGTTTATTTCATTTCTAACGAATAAAACAATCTTTTTAATGTTTCTTTTTTTTTTTCTAAAGAGAAATGTTGACATTTTACTCTTTAACAAATAATCGATTTTCAAATTAGTTTTCACTTTGGCGTTTTTGATTGTATGTTCAACTTGAAAAGAAATAGTAATGGTCTGTCCGGTTGGTGAAAATATTTTTCTTACATCGATCTCGAACAAGATGTACGAGATATAATATTATATATTCATTCGTGGTCAGTTAAATTAATGAATAGTTTGATTTTACTCACGTTGATGGATCAAGATCGAGCAAAAGAGAAGGAGAAAAAGAAGATATCTCTCGAAATTGATCGCCATCTCCCGCACTCCTCTGATTCGTATTCGTAATATAGCATTCAGGTACGTAGAAGATTAAAACACTATTAAGATTGAACAAAATGCTTTTGCAAAATGTTAACAAAACTAGCACGTTCGATGATATCAACTATACTCGCTGAATTTTTGTTGTATGTGAGAGAGAAAGAGAGAGAGAGAGAGAGAGAGAAAGAGGGGGAACAACGAAACGCGTAATGAACAAAGTGTAAGAAAAACATGCGTGCTGGGCCTCCGAGTGGCCGAAAGCACTGCAATGAGGAACTTACAGAGGAACGAACTCGAATGAGCTCTCGTTCCATCGGCGAACACGTGGAGAACTCACTTTCCCCTACTATTCTTTTATTCTTTACTCTTCCTTTCAGATCTGAAATTCTTCTGGTTGGAGAAAATTCACCTCGTTGTTTGAATTTTAATTAATCGATTTAAGTCGAATATACTTCAAATATATTATACAGTTTTTTTCGGCAGTTTTCAACATAACAATTAATCGAGTCAATCTTTATTTTATAAACAATGGCTAAGAAACGATATGAATAATAATAACGTAAGAAAGAGACAAAAAGTTAATAAGAGATCATTTTCATTTCAATAAAATTGCTATTTGTATTGGCTAACCAATCGTATCACAATTCTATTCAAACTATTTAGTCATAGAAGCGAAAAAATAATGGAAGTATCCTCTTTGGCATTTACTATTAAATAAATAATTCTAAATCATGAACTTTTTCTGCCAACTATCATAAATATGGATTAGTATGTAGGCAATTTTCCACTTTTTTTCCACGTTTCGAGTGGCAATTAAAAAGGAAAGAGGAACAGGAAGAGGAAACTACATTGAAAACGAATGATCTCCTTAAACGTCGTACGAGAAATTTAAACGCCAAAATGATCTTTATTATTTCGAACTCGGTGATTACTTGAACATTCTTACGTTCTCTTCTTTTTTCTTTCTAATTAGAACGTTGAATCGTAGAACGTACATAAATATACTTATATACACACATACACACGCGTGCACGCATCCACAGGCACACACACAAACACACACAAACACACACAAACACACACGCGCACATATACATCCATTCATTGTACAATACATAAGAAGATATACATACGAATTAATCATCCTTTCTCGTGTGCGTTGTAACTCTCTACATATTACGTACTAGATACATCTATGCAATAATGAATTAAAATAAGAGGAGGAATTTATCAATCGTCAGCTATCTAAAGCTATCTAAACAATAGATATTTATTGTCCGAGAAAAAGTGAAGACTTTTCTCACTTAATGGTGGAACGTGGAAATACTAGAAGTGAATGCTAATCGTGACACATTAGAATGAATCTAGGATTGATTTAGAAACACAGACATAGATTTAAATAATCTCGTTAAGTCGAGTTAATGCATTATTTTAGATGCATTAGTAAATAAAGATTAGGAAGGAAACACCTTTATCGGTCTTTTTCATTTACTAATTGAAATCAAATTTGTCTATGTACATATTAAACCTTAATTTCTCCATCTAGAGTAGAAATTTCTAACTCTTTCATTATTATCAAATGAATCTTATGTTATTAATGTTAATTTAATACAAAAATATGGCAGAAGCTACAAACTGACAAGCGGGAATGGAAGATTCGTACCCAACGCAACGTTTAAATCGCATAGGAAATAGTCTAGCTAGTACTTCTTGGGACAGGAAGCAGACGAAATGACAAAACGGTTCGCGTGACGCAAAACGCTCTCTCTCCATCTCTCTCTCTCTCTCTCTCTCTCTCTCTTTTCTGACAAGGTTCGTCGCTTCTAGCGCGCGGAGGCTTATAATTTTAAACTTTCACGAAAAAACAAAAATACAACATAACAATGAGAGATCGTTTGCGTTGGAGTTTGCGTTTGCATTTGCGTTGAGTTACGTTGCGTTGCGTTACGCTGCATACGATTCCGTGTGAATTTTTATACGTGTTTCTTTCTTTTCTTTTCTTCTTACTTCGTAATTAATGGAGATTGAACGCTATGCTATTTGGAAAGCCCATCTTGGGTGTCAGACAATAAAATTTTGGTCATACGTACGAACGTCAAAAAATTAGTACATACATATATATACATACTACATATTACTAACGGCAAACTATCGAAAGCCATTAATTATAATCATTTCATCACAATTAATATGCTTATCTATCTCGTTGCGTACGATCGTCTCTAAATAGTGGTAAGGAAAAACGTAAAAATAAGCGTGGAAGCGAATAACATACATATATATGTACGTATATGAAATAACTAGAAGGGTGTAAGGAAGAGAAAGAATAGATAGGAAAAAGGATGATCAACGAAGCTCCAGAAATTTTCTTTTCAAAAAGCATCGATTGAATTATAAACATATGTATCTATGTGTATATTGAAAAAGATAACATTTATCGATCGTGATAAGACGATCGCACGACGAAAGAGAATTCTTTTCCATTTGTAATTTTATTGTTGTTAAAATGTATTACTTTTATTTGCACTTAAATTTTGTCAAAGTTATTGTCTATTATAGCAATAATAATAATAATAATAATAATAATAATAATAATAACAATCAAATTCAGCTACACATATATATATATATATATATGTTCTTATTGTTAGATAAACACTTGCGCAATCTGCTTTTCCGACAATAGCATAAGAGTATCTTAATTATAATATTATCATCCCCTATAACTAATCTTATTACTATCATTATCATTATTATTATTATTATTATTATTATTGAATATTTTAATTATTATCGTGCGACAATATCATTAGCTTCGTTTTCTTCGTTTTCTTCGTTTTCTTCATTTCTCTTTTGTTTGTTTCACATATATATTCTTCTATTTTCCATTATATTTGATTACTCTTATCGTATATTAGATGTGAATCAACTCGAATCATGTATATGTAGGTACTTATGTTTATATAAAGCTAATTATTATAAAGCGTTATCTACCAAGTGTACCGATTAAAGTATAGGGCAGAAAAATAAAAATTAATGAATTAACGTGGATTTATGTATATTACAATGATACTTATACAAATGAAACATAATGAAGCATATGTTTTTTAGAAAATATACATATCTCTTTTGAATTTATTGGAATTTAATGGAATTTAATGGAAATGCTTTCCTACTTGTCGGGCTTACGATAAAGCTCGAAAAGCATACAATTATAGCAAACCGATTGTTTGCAAAATTGTTTGCAGATTGTTAGCAAGCTCTGCATCGGTACACTCTGCATTTTTAATATATAATATATAATAAGTTTAAGTATATTGTCACGTTAAATTATTATCATCGTCATCATTTTGACTATCATTTCTCGTATCTATATACTTATTTGTATGCATATATTGATGCATCAGTATTATTGTACGAACAGCATTAGAACTTATCCTAGATATTTCGTATAATAATTCTTATAATCAATTTCACATTATAGAATGAAGTCATTATATTTTTTCCCAAATCCTAATCCCCATTACTATCATCCCATATTTCATCAAAGATGAAACCGCGTGTTAACTTTAGGCCGGTTACTACTCCAATGTATAATGGTGAATATTACATATAGTACACGAATTATTCTTAACGAAATAATGTTACTGGAATTTGTCTTGCCACAATTACGATCTACATATTTGCGATTACAGAACAAATTTGTTAAGACGAAACAATAGCAGCGAATCGTTTTCGGAAGAAAAACGTATCGCATTGTCAACTGATATTTGATACATAACAATTTCTTTCGAATTCTTTCGAATAACATTTCGAAAGATAAAAATAAAGGATATTTAGCATTTTATTATTGAATATTATTGAATATTATTGAATATTATTGAATATTATTGTCAGATAGAAGACGACATAATCGTGACTTCTATTGTAATATTATCAGCACAGTCTCTCTATCATCGAAAAAAGGTTCATATCCAAGCAAGATATGCGTATATACATATATGTTTGTGTATATCTAACGCACGAATGTACATGTAGAATAATTTGATATATAGTTATCAAACGTACGTATGTATAACAATAAATAGAAATATTTCATTAAAATCATTCAATCGTTGTCGAAAAATAACGTATATTGGATAAAATTAAATCGACAACTTAATTAACACTTAAGGATTTTAGAGATCCATAAAAGAAACGAATCGAGTAGTCGTAACCGCTTTTTCGCTTTTTTCCGATACCCCGGTATTGTCATAGGTAGCAATAACAAATATCTCACAATAAATCCTAATCTACTCTCAAAGTGTTATTCTGTTCATTAACATGTGTAAAGTATTACTAGGAAATTCGTCATTATTGTCGACACATTGCAAATCTCTCATACAGATATCAATTATAATATCGACTAAATAATCGGATAGATATCAAACATATTCTACATTTGCTTTTTTTCTCCCTCCCTGGAAAGACAGAGAGAGAGAGAGAGAGAGAGAGAAAAAGAGAGAAATTTTCCGATATATAAATATATAACTACATGTATGTTTGTTTCTACCACATTTGACTTTTAACTAAATGAGATTAAAAACAAATTATATATCTTTCTAATCTCTACGAAGAAAAACATTTGAAAGTGAGTAAGCGTATAAAACAGCACATACGTATTAGAACAAAATTCTAACGAAAATGAAAAATCCCAGTTATGCAACGTTTGTCATAAATTAATTAATTAAATTTTAATTAACACGAGTATTACCTTTGTCCACTCTTACGTATGTATGTATGTATGCATGTATGTATGCATGTATGTATGTTTGTATGTATGCATGTATGAATGTATATATTGCCCCTATTTCAAGTATAATTACAATTGTTACCTACAATTGTTAACGATGCCTATTAGTCTCTATAAACTCGCTCGTTTATACTCGTTTTTTTTTTTGGTTTCTAAATACGACTTATGAACAATAATAATAATAATAATAATAACAATAATTAATAACAATGCATATACGTGTATATATTATGTGTTTGTGTGTTTTGCGTATGTATGTGTATATACGAATTTATCAATTCATTAGATTTACACGTATATCGATATTTATATAGACAACTGTCATCTTAAAAAGGTCTCGCATAAATTGACTAATTTTTTTAGATTTTCGAGCAACGAAAAGGAGGCTATTCGATATTTTATACACCTCCCGCTTTTCCTTATTATCAACACACATGTATTTCTATGTATATATGTATATGTATATGTATATAGTGAATTATTACGATTCGCCCCGCGAAACGATGCAAATAGATGATAGATATTTTTTCTTTACTCACATAATCTGGTACTTATTCTTATTCTTTCCTAACTTGTGATCAAATACGATCTTAACAATGCTGGGAATACGTATATACGTCAAGTATGCGTGTAAGTATATATATACACGTATCTTTATAATACACTTGCAGTAAATTCGGAAGGTGATGTAAGAATTGCAACATGAATTATCTGAAAATGTTGTTAAATAAAATGATTAAATGAAAAATCAAACTTTTGTTTCTTTTGTGAGAGAATGAACGTTACATTGAAATTACACGAGAAATTCATTACAGGTACTTAGGAAACACCCTGCGTATATATGTATGTACATTTATAGTTACGATCTCGTGTATATCTATATACGTGGAAGGGATCATGTGTATATATATATATATATAATAGAAATACATCTAAACCATGTATAATAATGTAACATACTTTTCTTAATTTCACAATGAAACTTTATCAGTTTACTTTCAATTTACTTTCATCGTTTCACTTTGTTACTTTTTATTTCTTCTTTGTTAATCTGAATTAAATAGTACTTTGATTTTACGTTTATTCTTACTATAATATTACACTATTACTTTCAATAATATTATCACTTCCTTGTGGATATACTTTCATTCGAACTTTGTGATACACGCGTTGAACTTTCCTCGCGTGATTATAGACGAGAAGATTCTTTTATTGTAATTTATCCATATCGATGAAATGATGATGAATCTTTCTCTAATTTATTGCTATAATTCTACCATCACGAAACGACGATTTTCATTCGTCGATTTATAAAGAGAGATAGAGATAGAGATAGAGATAGAGAAAAAAATGAATAATCCCTAAAGGTTTCAACGATTGCGTCTCATTTTTTTCTTTTTTCTTTTTTCTTTTTTTTTGGGGGGAAATTTCGCCGAATTAGAAATATCTATGTATTTTGTCATTCAATCAATGAAACACTAATGCATACATACCTAAGGGTATGTTTTCTAATAATTATTGTCGTAAAATCAGCTTATTGTCGGCAAAAAGATTCTTATTGTCTTCGCTTTGATCTCAAAGCGTTTGCCTATATGTAGATAATATTAATAGTTATACCAACGAAAAGAGATTTGTCTTTCTCTTTTCTTACTTTATTTTTATCATTAACGATTTCTTATCCGTTAAACTCTTCGCAAAATATCTTCCTAAGCTAAATAAAGTTTCAATAATATTGTCTTCCACGAGCATTTACTTAAATAAATGATCTTTTTTTTTGCATTCGCAATAGCGAAATACTTATAAGAAGTTTCGTTTTGATTATAAAATGGTAAAATTTGAATCCATTCGCACTCAAAGACTTATCTTTTTTTTTTTTTTTTTAAAGAGCATCGCCTATTATCGCATATATCCTATTCCTTTAGGTATACCAACCATCATTTGTTGATAATTAAAAAAATAATATTAGTTACAGTCATTCTCATCTAGCATAAGACTCGCGTTTGCATTTATGAAAGAATTGCAGTAGATATAAAGTTGAAATCAGTAGAATAAACTTTAAATTTGGGAGTGGCTAAATTATAAATTGTTTTGTCGCTCAACTCAAACCATTCTCCCCCATTGTTTCCTATTTCTTTTGCCGTAATCGCGAAATGACAAATCACGCGAATAAATCTTTCAATTCCATTGATTCTGAGTAACGTCGTGCGCGTAATCATCTCTAGCCGGTGGCTGGACCAAAGTCGTGTTTAGATCAGTGGCAAAAGGATTCGTTGAGTGGAAGGGATTGTTACTATTTGTCTCCGTCGATCCGTAACTTATAACAGGTGTCTTCTCTTGTTGTTGGCCGTACGTATGATCGGCAGTAATCGACGATTGAGAATAATCGTTCCAATCATCGGTAATGGCTGGGGGGTTAGTGCCATTTCCGAGGGACGGTTGTTTCTGAATTTATAATGTATATAATGCACACACATTCAAGTTTGATGATTGAAAATTCAGCATAATATTAATATAAAATAATGAAAAACTCACAATAAATTCTGACTGCATTGTTGCCGGCGGCGGTGGTATAGGTGGTTTTGTCTGATTAAGTTCATTCATAGGATTCCAAGTTTTCTGTTCTTCGAGCGTAGAATCGGCCCATGGTTGCAATTCTCCGGAACAAAATATGGCATAAAAGATAACGCCAAAAAAGTGAACGCAGGCGGCAATGATAAAGACATTTCTCCACTCTTCGGCAGCCTGAAACGTTTATTTCTAAAATGAATGAAGCGAAAATTCTTTCACATGGACCAAAATTCGAACTCGAATCTTCCCGGATTTAATTTGAAATCGTGCTGCTTGACCCCACATATCAATGGGACATATCAAGTTTTTAGAAGTGATAAAAAATAATCTTTTCTTTAGAATGGTGCTGATTTGAAAATATTTGAATAAATAATATTATATAATAAATGATCCCCTACTCCTAATACCTAATACTCTACAAAGATGTTTTTTTTTTTTTTTTTTTTTTTTTTACTAACCTTATTTTTCGTAATGTTATCGACGAAAAATGGTACCAGAAGGCCAGCTATCGTCCCGATACCATTAGACATGCCCATCAAAATGCTCGCGTATTTCGGTGCGATATCTAAATGGTTAACGTTGAAGCCCGAAATGGCAAAACCACTGCAGGCGACACCAAAAATAAGAGCAAAGTTTGCCGCTGTGCCATTCTTGTGCATGGTTGCATTTGCGACAACTAAAAAAAATATCGCCTCCATGCCGAATCCACCGCAATTAAAGAGTTTTCTGACGTTCGTCGTCGACATGATGCCACGTCTACGAAGATAATCCGCCAATAGACCTCCGCACGGAACGATAAACGTCATCATCAAGTGCGGAATCGAACCGACCATGCCAGTCTGATGAAAAAATATATCTTACGTTAGTAGTATGTTCGTTCATTCACAAGTGAGTGAGCTTTATAATTATATTAGCCAAGACTCTTGAAATAAAAGCGAACGAGTTAATATAGAAAATCGTTAACTTTGAGAAGAGAGAAAAGCGTTAATAATAACTCGTAGGTACTTCGACGAGCGGGATATTGAAGGCCTCGTGTATGAAGCGGGCTTGAAAAAGGACCAAGAGATAAAAGTTCCAGGATCGGCAAAAGTTAGCGACGATGATTGCATGAACCGGCATCGATGTGAAAAATTTTTTCCATGGTGTCGTGGAAAAAGTAGGTATTGGTGCTACAGTTTGTCCTTGACCTAACGAATCCTCGATGTATCGAAGCTCTTTCGCAGAAATCGAAGGATGCTTCGATGGTTTCTCAAAAGCCAACCAAAGCCAAAAACAGTACCAAATTAAACCGGCGATACCTAAAATGTGAACATTTTTGTTTTTTTTTTTCGTTTTTCTTATAGTCTAGAAAAAAAAAAAAAAAAAAAAATAAGCAAAAATATACCATAAAAGTAAAATGACGCAGTCCAGCCGAACCAATGACTCAATAAACCGGAAAGCGGCATTCCTATCACCATCGCTGCGTACGATCCACAAAATGCTAAGGTAGCCAATCGTGATCTTTCGAGCGGTGGCGCCCAGAATTTCCAAATACCATGGCAGGCTGGATACGTAACGCCCTGAATAAAATCAAAATCAAAATCAAATCCTAATATCTAATAAGCACCTAATAAGTATCTAATTAATAATAATGCATATATAAATGTAATCGTACCTCGACGAAACCTTTCAAAGCTTGGACGATCATATCGACGATCGGATCGACCTTGAGAGCACCAGGCACGAGAAGATTCAAGAAGGAAGATATCGCGATAGCTATACCAAATATCCTATTGGCAGGGTAGAGAGACGCTAGAAATCCACCCGGTACTTGTGTTATGAGATAACCCCAAAAGAAGGACGAGTCCATGGCACTTTCCGTTGCGACAGTCCAATTAAATTTGATCTGTTCACCTTCCTCGGTCGTATTTTTCATTACCAATTTTGCCATTCCCATGTTACACCTCATACCAAAGGAAATAACGAATCCTGAAATCGAGAATAGAGTTTTTCTTCGTCAGTTTACTCTGTCGTGCGAAAAAATGAATGAGTAATTCACCTAAACAAGCCAATACGGCAATGGTGTATCTCTTGGACAGACAGGGGCATTCCGGTTTGCAATAAGTATCGATATGTCGTAATGGTGGTCTTGCTGGTTCTGGGAGAGAATCGAAAGACGCTTGTCTGCTGTATCCCCGCTCATCCTCGAAACCTCTGTTGTCTTTACTTGCCTCTGGAGGCATCTCGAATTCCTCATAGCCGGCATTGCTCCTTCTAAATCTATATCTATTATGTTTTTTATTATTTCGGATAAATACTTATATCTTTTTTCAATTTTCAATGCAATCGAAGAGCATCGAAGACAATCATTTATTTGACATTACCCAGAAAGTTTCTCCGACGCTTTAGACTTGAAGGAATCGAAAGCCACAAGACCCGCGGCCGCGAATCCAGACATTTTCCAATTATTGGGATTGCTACAGGACTACTTGCAGTCGTTGCGTTGTTATATTTGCCACTCCCTACATTGGGTCAAGTCACATCATTAATTATTTAGTCTGTGACAGACTAAAAATCTTAACAAATCCTTGCAAGATTCTCTTCTGTTTATTTTTCTTCCCTTAGAATTTTACAAATATTAGGTATATATTGCCGCGTATTACATGTAGGTATCTGTCGAATAAAGAAGAAACAGAATATTTGACAAAATAAAAAGACGACTGTTTTATAATTACTCGAAGAGCAAACAGATCGGAGAGGGGACTTTAAACGATTATATCCTTTTAAATCTCCCATATACGTATAGCCCTATGTGCGACTGTGTACGCACATTTATATATATATTATAGAGAAAGATATAAGGGAGGAAAAGTACGGCAGTGTAGGGGTGTTTATTTGGAGTGGCAGTCTCTCCATTCCTAATCCCCGAACTCTCGGGGGAATCTCTATCTTGAAGGGACCGAAGAAAATAGAGAAAGTGAGAGAGAGAGAGAGAGAGAGAGAGAGGAATAGAAAACAGCCCTACCCTACGTTTCTCGTATTTCTCACTTAAACTCTTAGAATTCCGTTTGTTCTATTTTCATCCGATCGCTATGTTTTTAAATCATTTCAAATACGAATATCAATGAATATCAGTAATATGCATGAGAAATGAATATTACTTGTAATATCGATTGCCACGTGATAAATTACGTAAAGGGTTGGTTGCTCGCGCGCGTTCTAAATCGATCCATACTTTTTTCAAATCGAGCCCACCTAGTTCTGCTTTTAACAAAAGGGGAAAACAAAAGAGAGAGGGGCCTAAAAAAGAAAAAAGTCACGTGACTAAATGATCGAGAAATGATCAAGAAATGATCTTGGAAACAAAGGTATCAAGATTAGAAGGGTGCGCCAAGATGAAGAGATAAAAAATCAAATAACAGACAAGGAATGCGAAAAAATGACAGTCGGATATTAAAACGGCACGTGACGAACAAAAGGCACTAAATGCACAGCACGTGTTAACGAATTAGGGTGGAACGACGTTGATGTAAAACGCTGACTCAACTCTTAAATGGACACTAAGCATCCTCCATGTCGATAACTACTTCATCGAGTCTTTTCTTCTCTCTTTGAAATCGAATGAGATTTTCATCAAAAAGACTACCTATTCTACCAATGGAAGAATATGATTCGATCATTGGTATTAATTGCATCTATTTCAAGTTTATCTAATTTTTGCTTCTGAACATTGTCTTGTTCGAACACCGCAATCTCGATTTATAAAAAACTTCAATTCTAGCTGCCAAATCATTCAATTTTTTTTTAACAAAATCACTGAAAGAAACACGTCACCAGAGATATCACCACCGATCATAACTCCACTCGACGACACTTGTCGTTAACACACTATCGTCATTTTGTATTATGTCATCTCTGTTAGATAATAGAAAATAAAGCACAAAAATGTAATTGCAAAAAAAAGAAAAAAGTATAAGGGAACTCACCAATAATGAAAAGTAGATACGGGCGCGAGTAGAGACCAGGATGATGCGGGGTACGCGACGGAGAACGTCGTCGACGTTGCCTAACTTTACCACCAACACCACCACCACCACCTCCACCACCACCACCACCACCTTTGCCGCCGTCGACGCCGTCGTCGTCGACCTCGTCCTCGTCGTCGTCCTCACCACCACCGTTGTCCTCACCACCACCGTCGTCGTCGTCGTCGTCGTCGTCGTCGTCGCCGTCCTCGAGGAGTAGCTTAAAACAGTGCATCTCGATGAGGTCGGCCGTTTCCATTGGATGCCAAGCTAGACGCATCGATATCACTGGCCAATCGGCTTTATCCAGCTACCCCACTCGTGGCCACATCAGGCGGAGCTTCTTCCATTCCATATCTCTCAACCACCCCCACATTGGCATGGGAAAACCGTTTGCAACAACAAAACAGCACGCGCAAACAACCATAGTAACGGTATTAACGACGTTCAACGATCGTGCCTTGGATCAAACTCCGATTGAACTCTATTTTTTCCTTACCTTTATATTCGATATTAACAAGGGATATTATTATTTTTCAAAGACTTCAACTTGTTCCTCTTGTACGTTGTTAAAAGATCATTCGTTTCCGATCGAAATGATCCGAGTGATTATGCAAAAGATAAAGAAAGTATTAATCTATTGCTCCTCGTTATCGTAATCGAAAACTTCATAACTAACACATACAATGCCGATTTTTCTAACAAAGTCCTTTAAACGCAAAAAATATTCTTTTCTAATTTGTCTTTATTGTTGTACTCTTACCTACTACTCATTATTTTCATATGGTTCATTTTAATGTAATAATATTTGAAGGAAATAAGGTCGAAAAGAAAGAAAGAAAAAATGAATTTTGGCGGGTCGAATCCATCGCTAGACGTTAGACGGCGACTCGCATTGTTACAAACAGAGGGTAAAGCGGCCGTGGCGTGGGCACCCTCTCCACGGTTGCCAGGAAATATCGATCTGCTCCAGAGGCTGCCTGTTATTCTCTGAATGGTAGCTCTGTCATTCTTTATCTTCGCAGTGGCAGTCTCCTCTATGACCCGAATAACTCGAATTTCACTATCGTCTCATCGTCGTTTTAAGATCCTTCTCGCGAATCACGCCGCGACAGATCTCCCCTTTTATCATTGCCCATTAGACAATATTTAATGTTCTTGCAAAGTGCTACATATTGCTCCAACTTTGATCGAAAATCTAGGCTGAGATCGTTCATTGATTTATCCTCATTTCTTGTAATACTCAATAGATCAACCATCGCTCTCCTTACTTCTTTCGATTTTCTTCTAGGGTATTCACCGTAGTTGTTTTTCATTTCAAATAAGCATCGGGAACGAGATTTAGATCTCCTAATCGATCCCTGCCGAGCACTAATAGGTAGATAATTATTCTTACATTCTTTAGAGCATCGATTGCAAGAATCGTAAAAAAAATAATTATCGCGATAAGTTAGACCATTGAAATCGTTTGCCTTTCCCCTTCCCACTCCCACTCCCCTTCCCACTCCCACTCGCACTCCTTTCTTTTCCTCCTTGTATTCTCGTTTTTCATAAAAAAAGTTCTTCTCGTCGAACAATCTTTTATCAATAGTTTCGCGTTGGTTATGACCTTTCCGCATGAATCTCCGTAAATTTAAACGAACGACTTTTTTCAATTTGCGAATGGACCTTATGCCACTAAGATAAAAGGATTCGCAAAAATTCTGTAAAATCGAATTAGAGTCTCGAAGACGAACGTTATTTTGTTGCATTCGATTATAAGAACGTGTCCAAGTATCGCAGGTGCAAACACTAGAGCAAGGTTTTTTATATTTTCCGTCTTCTTTGAATCGTTTCTCACGATCAATTGGTAAAATTAAACGCCTTGAATCTTCTTTCGAAAATATTTCAATCTTCATTTTTCTCGAAGATTCGTCATTAGGGAATATTTGAAAGCCGATGTTAACGGTGGGAACAATTGAATTTGCACTCGAATTCGACAAGGATACATCACAGTTCGTATAATTGTTTTTTCCCGACGTCGGACATGGGACTTGATAATCTTTCTTTTTTGAAATATCGAGCAAGGAAACACCCATCATCGCGGATGCAATTGTTGATGCTTTCTGTGCTTCTTCAAGCTTTTCTTCGTTTATCAAGATAACATTAGATACAGCATCCTCGTCATTTTGTCTTTCCACAGAAAATAAAGAAGAAGCTTTGGAACAGCAAGAACACTTTGAGTCGCAATCAAAGTTTACTTCTTCTTTAGACAAGATTTTCCTAGTCGTTGAACTACTATCCATGTTGTTAACGATTTCTTCATTTTCTCCGGTTTCTAAGTTGCAATAACTTTGACTGCAAACGTCTTCGATTATCTTCGAAAGCTGGCTCATCTGCTCTTTTCTTACATCCTTTGTCGAATTTAAAATGTTATCATTGTTTTTGAAAATATTACACGATGAACAACAGTTTTTCTCCTCGAAAATACTCAAATCCTCGTTAATCCGCGGTGATTGGACGTACGGAGTTTCACTAGAAGAAAGGCAAGAACACTCTTCGGTGGTACGATCGAATAAAATTTCTTCGAGCGAAATTTTTTCTGCTCGACAGGACAAACACCTCGATGACAAATTATCGCTTATTCGATCGATATTTTTTATCAACAATTGCTTTCTTCTTTCTTCAAGAAGATTTTTACGCTCACGCATCTGCTTCCTCTGACAAATCGTTACTCGGACTCGACGGTTGTTAAAGAATACACAGGGTCTCGTCTCCTGACTTCTTTTAATAGTCAATTTGAAATTGACGTAATCTTTACGAATGTCTAAAATCAAACATAGTTCCAGGATATTGCTTTTGTTAAATATTTGTCGATTGACGGTGTTTAGGCAAAAGCAAACATTCAAGAGACACGATTCATGAAAGATCGGATCGACCCTGAAAATTTCCCTTAAATCAACCTTAAAAGGCAAAGATAATTGAGATCGTCGTCTTCTTATATTTGACTTTAATGAGACGATGCGAGGGCGACGGCAACGACGACGGCAACGACGACGGCAACGACGACGGCAACGACGACAGCAACGACGACAGCAACGACGACGATTCAACGTGGAGCAACATTTAGGCAAAGAAGCTACTCCTAAGCTGGCCTCTTTGGAATCTCTACAAGATTCGGCCGACCATATTCCATTATATTCGTTTTCCTCGAAGGGTTTTAGCAAGTTGGAAGAATTTTTCAATCGACACGATACAAAGATGTTTTGTGAATTCTTTCGAGTCTGCAACGACGATTCAATACTTACGGTTCGATCGATTTTTTCGTTGCTAGGAGAATCATAAGTAGCTGCTCTTTTACAAATACATCCTTGCCGCGAATGGTTGGATACTACCGATGCTATCATACTTCCTAAAATTATTTCTATCATGAAATCGCGACAAAGATCTTCTCTACTTTTTCCCACTTGTTTTCTTCTCATTTTTCCTCTACTTCTTTTTTCTAATAGACTGTCAATGAGGGATGAACTTTAGTTAAATTTTCATTGAATCAAAATGATCATTATATTAATTACTTACACGCTATCCTTCTCGCAGAAGGACTTTCTCCTCGATAAGTTAAAATTACTAAAGACGTTCGAATCGAAACCCAAAGCGTCCAATTCGCGACATATCTTGATCAATCTATTGTTCAATATTATCGAATTGAGGAAGAAGCCGAATAGTCTATCGTTGAATAGATATTTAATCGTGTACTCGATGATCCCCTGCATCGCATTGCATCAATCTCTCATTATTTGACGCGAATCGTTCCCATAGGATATATATTTAGAAAACGTGCTAGTTTAAACATTTCTTCGGCCATGAAAATCACCTCCTTCCTCGGTAAATTAGGAAATACGAAATCTACGAATACATCGAATTCCTTAGGATTGTCTTGACAAAGTTTGATCACGTTTTGATAAAGTCATTGCAAATCTTTAATGCATAAGATGACGCCACGGATGACGCCACGGATGACGCCACGGATAACGCAAATAAGCAATAGATTTAACGTACTATGATGTGTTTCAAAGTTCGCATCGTTACCGTTATTACAAAATAAACAATTTCAATCGATAGCTTAATATCGATTAAGAATATGTAAATTAATTTGATCTATCTTCTTTGCACGAACGAACAAAGATGTGATATTTATATACACATAATACCATGATATTTCAAGGGTTTATTAAACACATGGTGTGAGTATAATAAACTAGTTTCGGTTGAACCACCTGACTTTGTTAACTCGGTGACTTGCAGTGCCAGCAAAATTCAGGGTCCACCGAATATGCTAATGTGTTTTACGTTAAGTGCTCTGACGCATTGGCGCGAGACCCTTCATCTAGTGGAATTCCGATAGGGGAGAGAAATAGAGAGGGAGAGGGAGAGGGAGAGGGAGAGGGAAAAAGAGGGATACCAAAGAAGGACAAATAAACGAGATGAGAATTGGAAACTCTTGAAAATATGGTATGGGAGATATGGTTGTACGCAGAAAATAAAAAGATAACGGAAAGAAGCCAAATAGAATCGAGCAAAGGATGGAAGAAAATAGACAGACAGATAGAAAGCTAATATTTCCGGAATTTTTCTAAGAGACAACTATATCCATACATATATACATATATTATACTTTATTCGCATAGTCTCTCGACACGCGGATCAATACTTGTGTGACGCCGCGACAGAGCGTAATAACTGCTGCACGCTGACTGACATCATTAAACGATACATGTGTAACATAGATAGAAACGATACATGTATCATATAGATTTATTAGTAACGTTACCCCTGGCGTAACTCCTGGCGATGACTCTTTATCTTATGCAGCTTAATAAGATTGTAATTAGCTTTAATCATTGTCAATAATCGCGGCTGAAATTTCTCATCGAGCTTTGCTTTTTATCAAGAGATTCATTTGATAAAAGGGAAAGAGAAATATCAAAGGACCCTTCCGTTCTCATTACGGTCGATATATATATATATCTAAATGTTCTTTAAACGTCTATTAAGCGTTGCTCCCACGTTTATGAGCTTGAAAATACAATTCTTCTAATTAATTATAATTCCTACTGTGTATAAAATATTATCAAATCTCTCTTCCTTTTTCTCCTGTTCTATATTTTTCCAAGATCTTAGTTATTAAAAAGTTATCGATATAAACGAGCAAAGCTGGAAATAATAAAGACATTTCAATATTATTGCAAGCGTGCAAAGTCGTTTATTGCATACTCGTTTTATAATTACTTGAATTGGTAACAAAATATCTGCTCGTAATTTGGCTTTACGAATGTGGGTTGACTAAAACATGATAACGGAGCAGTGCGTGGGAGTTGGAAGATTCCCTTTTTATGATGCTCCCGTAAAATCAAAAGGATCAATACTTTGATACTGGGCAAGACCACTAAGGGCGCTCTATTCTCGAGAATGTCGTGAGTGTGGTTGACGTGAAAACTGGCAGCCATCAGGGAAAATATCTATCTCGTCAAGGACCTCTTCGTTCGCTCTCTTTATCTACTTGGACCAACCACCGATCGCATCCTGGTAATGAAAAGAACTTTTACCTTCTTTTCTCACAGACCTACGCGCGTAGACAAGTTTAAAGATCTTAAATATGGCGTGTAATAATAAATCGTCAATAAATATCGATTAATTATAATGTTTCATACTAATCATATACCATTTTTTCCATTACAGCTTCATTTGTTACAACTATATTAGAGTATAATTCCCTCTTCTCTCCCTTTCTTCTCTCTCTCTCTCTCTTCTCTCTCTGACTCTTTCGCTATGCCGCACTGTTTTCTACTTCTCTCGATAGCGGTTGCTACCCAGGCGGCGCAATATTTATCACCTACAATTCAGGTAATATTAATCTTGATTATTATATAATATATTGACTACCACTAACGAGTTAATCGATTTGAATTAATCAATCTATCGATTTTTAGGACGACCGTCTCTGGGATACGAGTCTCCAAGTTGTCTTAGACAGTTTAAACAAATTGAATGACGTGGTTGATTCCTACGTTGATTACGTAGATAATTTTCGATTACCTGATGATTTTGATAAGGCCAAAGAGATACCAATAGATCTACCGGCTGATTACGAAGCTGATACATTTAATCCTAATCCAAGTATTCGCGATCAAGAATACCTGCAACATAGTACTCTTTGGAGTCATCAGCACGCCAATGATTATTACAGAGGTAACGATAGACACAGGATACAGGCTGCTGGTATAAAAGGTGGAAAAGATGAAAAAACTGAAAATGCATTACCTGCATATTGCACACCACCGAATCCTTGCCCAATAGGATACACTAGTGAGTGATCCTTTTTCATTTTCTTATCAAATTTCTTTAAGACGTCCACCCCCGTTAAAATAAGCTACCTGAGAAAATAATTAGGTGGCTTGTTTTACACGCTGACATGATGGTTTTACATGTTGTTTATAAATTAACTTGAAAAAACCTATACTTGATCTCAATCAGGTGAGAACAACTGTCTTACCGAGTTTGAGAATACGGCGACGTTTAGTCGTCATTATCAAAGCTTACAAGATTGCATGTGCGATACCGAACACATGGCAGATTGTCCATCTAATTCTAATGGGCTTCCTGGTATGCGTATTTCCAATTCCGATTTTGCTCAAATCGTCGAAGAATTTCGGGTAAGTCCACGAATGTCTCCAATTCGATGTTCTTCCTTATTCATGATTTTATTTTTAGGAAGAGAATCCTTTCTTCCAAGGAGAAAAATTACCAATAGCTGCCAAGAAAGGTATAAATGTGGTTTACTAAAAACCCAATAAAATATATGAAAATATTATTTATCGAGTATCTACATTCAAATTGAATAACTCTATGTACTACGCTCGATGGAAAAATATTATATATACGTATTAAATTAAAAAAACTATAATATATACTTATGTCGAAAAGAGAGAAATGGGGGAGAGAGAGAGAGAGAGAGAGAGAGAGAAAGTTATGCGATTAAGTTATTGATTTGATCTGCATAGATTATTACAATTTTGTTTTAAATATATGTGTGCATTAAAACGACCACATGAAAAAATACTATTATCAAATCGAACAATTTATCGATGTACAAAATGTGTAAAGTATATATATATATTGATATATGTATGTATGCATAAATAGGGTGTTGTATTGGGTCGAAGGGTTTTACATGTAAAAAAAAAAAGAAACATTTTTTCGTTTCAGACGATTCGTTCTATAAATTTTATTATCACATTTATCATTAAGCTTTATTTTAAATTCCATAAAAAAACGAATATAATCTGACTAGATACAAGATATCTCGCACATCGCACCGCTGGAAAATGTCCATTATTTATAATTATTCATTATTATCAATAATCAAAAGTACAATATTTCAATTAATTGTTTATTATACTGCTCATTTGCTTCTATCAAGATCGTAAAAAAAAAAGCAAGAAGATTCACGCGCCAAGCATGCAGCACACACACACCCACACGCACGCACGCACGCAAACATATATACATACTAAATATTTAACCACTTGCTCTAAAAAGACGTGCCACGCAGAGCTTTTGTTTCAAGACTGTGAGGCGTTTATCAGAAAAAAGAAAATAACGTGTAGCGCACGGCACCGCAACGCAACGCAACCGTAAAGTTTATTCGTAGCGCAAGTGATTAAGTAATACTTTTAATTAATGAAGTTTCGCATTTATGTGTGTGTTGATCAATTATGAAAAATATTATTTTAAAAAGATACAAAAAAATATCATGACTATGGTATAGTCTTGTTACTTTCTAAAACTTTTTAATATTGGATAAATATTAATCAATGCATATTGTAATTCGGATCGATCCTTTGCACCTGCAATATTAAGTATGTTGATATTGACGGTTAAATGAATAAAAAGATAATCTTTTAAATCTTATATTATATTATGTTATTATAATTCAACATTGGTAAATCTTGCAAATCTTACCAGTTAATACGATCTTTCCATTGACAAATATAAGTAAAACCATCCTTGGCGAAACCATCCTATATATTAAACCTGAATATATCTCTGGTTCATAACTAGAAAACTGAAAATGCGAATGGTTTAATTCTTCTAGTTTAATTGGAAATTTAAGATCACACGTTGCAACTATATTTTGTATCTTGAAATTATAAAATTTGACCTATAATGAAAAAAGGAAAAAAAAGGTATATGATAAGTATATAATAAGTATATAATAAGAATATAATTAAAATGTAATTCACAGTGAAAGAAAGTGCGCGCGTACAAAAAGACAGTGCTTGTTAACAATGTCTTACCGGAAAGCCCAATTTTTGTAAAATTCTAGCAAACTTTCTTGCTGCTAAACAAGAATCTGCTTCGCTTCTAGCTCCAGTACAGACTAATTTTCCAGAACGAAAAATTAAGGCTGTTGTTGTGGGATTTTTGATTCTCATAACTAATCCTGTGAATCTTGCTGGATTATATTCTGAATTTCTAGTCCTTGTATTAATATACGTAAGATTTAGTTCTGTACCTAAATTAACTGTAGAAACGACATTTCTACAAAATAGAACAAGAATAAGTAATCATCATAATGAATAAAAATACTTTAACGAATACTCTAACAAAGAAACATACTGTACACAAGCTTCTGGAATTTCTTTAATACTATTGGGGACATTAGGTACCATTGGGTTCATGGTAGTCGATGGATTAACATTTTGAGACGTACTAGGACGTGGCACGGTAGTCTGTAATCAACTTAATCTCTACAAATCATTCTTTAGACAGAAAGAACAGCTATAGCAATAGATTTGTATGTTATAGCCTACCGATAATGGTGGAGCCATACATGTATCTTCTGCTGTAATATTTTTCATAGGAGTATTCAATAGTTGTTTTAACTCATTATCGTCTTGCTCGGAAGCAGCCATTATTCTTTACTTATTACAAACTAAACAAATTAAAAACTTTTAATTAAAGGCACTTCTTCGGACACGTGGCTGGCTGGCTGGCTGGCTGGCTGGCTGGCTGGTTGGTTGGTTGGTTCGTTGGTTAATCTTAACTGTTAGGTCTGCAGTTGTTCCTGAAGCTCACTTCAGTAGTAATCGATGGGTGGCGCCACTTCCTGGCTCATCGAACATAATAGGGACCAGATTATATTTTAATTTTAAAGAAATTCTATTGAATTGAAAGAGAATTTTGATAAACCGCAATTACTAGTCATTTTTACAAAAATATCAATCTACTAATTTGACCGTATTATACATAGTACACAGTTTCCAACAACAAAATATTCGATGCACGTGCGTAGCAGTAATATTTTTATCGATCAGCTGATTCGAGAAGCGGTAAATTTAAAAATACATACATGTGTACGTTGTTTAATATTTCTGATTATTATAACAAAATTACAAATATTATCTACATGTATATATTTCTCTCTTTACTCATTTTCTCTTGAAGACTATTCGTTATAAACAAAACCATGTATCAGACTTTGATAGAAAAATATATACCAAGCTTTATGATGACAATTTGTTGCCGTTGACAACGCGTGACGTTTCATTAGGGTTATAGAGTTTTATGTTTAGAGTAAATGAAAATAACACGTATAACACGTATAACACGTATGTCTTCTAAATGAATGCAATTTGAAATCTCGTTGCGAAAGAAAACAACAAAAAATTACGATGAGTTCAATATTTGGTGGCGAGAGTGGTGACAATAATGTGAACGTTATTATTTTTGATGCGTCAAAGAATGGTAGAAAATTAAATGAGGAATTCAAGATACTACAAAGAAAGTTAAAACCGAAATGGAAATTTATCGAGTAATTAATATTTATCGACAATTTTGTCCTTACAAATGCGTGTTTCTCTTTCCAATTGTAATGTAATTTCTTGTAGAAACAACGATACCATCACCGAAGAATCACTGGCAAGTGGCAAGGTATTGGTACTTCCAGGGCCAAAAAATAAATTTACTGAAATAGAAATGAACACTATTCGGAATTTCGTCAACGCTGGTGGTAAAGTTTTGGTGATGTTAGGTGAAGGTGGCGAAAACAAATCAAACACGAATATTAATTTTTTAATAGAAGAATTTGGAGTAATGGTGAACAATGGTAGAAAATGACATTAGGTCGATGCACCTTCGTTTTTCATTATAAATATGTAACAAATTATTAATCATATTAACGTTTCAGACAGTGTACTACGTATGAGCTATAATCAAATGTTACATCCGAAAGAGTGTCTTGTTTCTCAAGGCTTGTCGAACAAATCAACATTTTTGAAGAACCACAACGAATATTCGTAAGATCATATTCAATAAAAAAAAAAAAAAAACTAAGCAAACGACATTTATTATCATTTATTCTATATGGTTTAATCAATCAGAAATATCAATTTCCTATATCCATACGGTGCAACATTGAACGTGGTGCGACCATCAATGGTCGCTTTGTCGAGCGGCTCGATTGCTATTCCAATGAATAGACCTATATGCGCTTATTATTCTGGTAAAAATGAATCTGGTAAATTGGTCGTTTTGGGCTCAGCTAGGATGTTTACAGATGCCTACATCGAAAAGGAGAAAAATAGTGTCTTGCAAGAAATGATTTTTGATTTCTTTGATTCAAACGATACCACTGAGAAGGATTTTCAGCCGGATGATGTCGATGTAAGTCTAGAGAAAAATATTACTTAAAAAGGAAAATAGATTTTAAATCTAGTTGATACAATTATATTTCAGTTTTGGGAATACAATTTCGTACCAGATATAACACAACAAGCAGATAATCCAAAAGTTTGTACACAAGATCTTGATAATATCGACATTCCGCGAGAATATATGAAATTGTTTAAGCATCACTTTTACTCAATTAATTTGAATATGGTGCCAGCTGCTATAAATGCATATGAAACTTTGGGAATAAAACATAAACCATTGAGCTTAATACCACCTAATTTTGAGGCACCTCTGCCACCCACCCAAGCATCGGTAAGAATTTTTATATTTAATAGAAAATAATCAAATTGACGAATTTGTTGAAAATAATAATTCTCATGAAATATGGTATTTTTTCCGAGGTCTTTCCACCAAGCTTTCAAGAATTACCACCACCAGCATTGGAATTATTTGACTTGGATGAAGCATTTAGCTCTGACTTATTAAAATTATCTCAATTGACAAATAAATATATGTCGACGAAGGATTTATCAAATGACGTTGAATTAGATCATTATATTAGAGAATTTGGAAGTATATTAAGGATAAGTAATTCAGATACTCATACTGCCAATGAAGTATTGAATCATGTTTTCCAAAAAATTTGTAGCTATAAAACTATACAAGATAGAAATGAATATTCTTAAAGAAAGTACGAATAAAAAAGCAAAAATTAGTTGCATGTAATATAGAAGGATTTTCTTGATACGTACCGCATCTACATTTATATTAGATTTCTAGATATTACATTTAGATACATACATAAGTATATCGAATAACAATCGAAACAATGAAGGTATTCGATGCTGCCGGCTTTTGTCTTGTCAACTACACAATGCATATGCATATCTGCTGCTGCCCTGCCTGCTGCTGCTGCTGCTGCTGCTGCTGTGTATCATATGTGTATCTTTCAGGCAATTTGTTGTTACGCAATTTTGTCCCAAACAAATGAAAGATTGGCTGTTGCTTTTTGACTATACGTTAAAAGCCTTATATTATCTATTACCTTTTTTATTTTATATATAGTATACAAATGGTGTTACGAGGTGAAAAAAACAAACAATTTATATGACGCTTCCAAAAGCACAACATATGCATACATTATGTACATATCATCTGTATATTATATATATATATATATATAGAGAGAGAGAGAGAGAGAGAAAAATGCTTTGGCGCTGGTCGCGTGTAGCAGTAGTAAACTACCTGATGTGAAGAAATTTAGAAAAGATGGCAGCACTATCAGATAAACATTTCATCTGTTGTGGATTTTTCTTCATAAGTGATAAAAAACATTGTTGTCTGTTTTACATTTTAATGTAATGAGTTACTTAACGTTGCTAACGCATCTTAGATATTTTAGCCTTAAACGTAATAGGAAGAGGTCTATCCTCAAACGAGAAAATCCTAGCTGCATCAGTTGAAAAGATAGGTCGTTACTCAGAAAGACAGTTGAACGGTAGTTCACATTAAGCATCTTGTGGTATATTGTTTCGTAAAATAATTGCATTGTATGTATATTTGGTTGATCTTTCGAACGTGTATATAGTGAAACCACAATGTCTGTGTTCTTCGTGAATGCGTAAGTATATATTATTAAGTATTGCGTATATGTATATCAATATATATATATATGTATATGTATATATGGTGTTTTAATATTTTGAGGTTATATTTAAACGTGCGATATTCTTTTGTTGATAAATATTATTACTTGTTGCATGTTTTCTGTGCGATTTATGAATTCCTATAATAAATAATCTATAAGATTTGTTAATCACATATTATTATACTGATTGTTACATATTTTGTAGTAACCAAGATAGCGAAGTCGAAGGAGATTCCAATGGTGATTTACAAATTGCATCACCAGGCAGCTCCGAAGCCCAACAAAATTTAATACAATTTTGGCCAAAAGTTACAGAAGAAATAAAAAAGATTAGATCGGTAAGAGAGAACATTGGTTTTAGTTGAACGATTAAATTTATCTAATAGTAGAATGTTCAAATAATAACTTTTCATATGATCCTTGTTTTTCTTTTCTGATTCTCAGATAGATCAAAAGACACAATCTCTACCATTGGCGAGGATAAAAAAAATAATGAAATTGGACGGAGATGTTAAAATGATAAGCGCGGAGGCTCCAATGCTTTTTTCTAAAGCAGCTGAAATCTTTATTCACGAGTTAACTCTTAGAGCATGGGTTCACACGGAAGACAATAAAAGAAGAACTCTTCAACGAAACGATATTGCAATGGCAATAACTAAATATGATCAGTTTGATTTTCTTATCGATATTGTTCCTAGAGACGAACTTAAACAAAGCAAAGCGCAATCAGAAAGCACAGTGCGCACATCTATGAACTCGGATCAAGTTCATTATTACTTTCAATTGGCACAGCAGCAAGCATCGGCAAATCAAAATGTACAAAATAATGGTACGGGTACCCAACCTATACAAATTATACAACCCACCACTGGGCAATTACAAACAATAAACATTGGCAGTCCAGTTGAACAGGTAATCTCTCTCTCTCTCTCTCTCTCTCTCTCTTACTCTTTTATTAGATACTGCAACGTAACGAACGTAGCAAAATTATAGTTGATATAAATATTTGTTCTTCATTTGAATGATGTTTTTAGGAGACATCTAACACGAGTACGACTCAAACCGTTACTGTGCAGAGTCCTCAACAGTCTTCGGGTCAACAAATAATCCAATTACAACAGGCGCAACAAACTCCAACTTCTCAGACTGGAGGGATTCAAATAGTACAACAAATTGTTACTCCCACAGGAGAAATTCAACAAATACCTGTAACTATACTATAAAAGAAGATAAGCTTATTATACCAGAAATCTTAAATGTAACTTTATTAATTTTCTTGATTTTAATTATTTTCTTCAATTGATATTGAACATTTTTGCAGATTCAGTTGACTCCTCAACAACTACAAATGATACGCATGCAGGTTCAAGGAGGTAGCAATCAACCTATCATAATTCAAACTGCTCCCATTCAAACACAACCTCAGCTCATACAAGTCGCGCAAGGTGCACAAGCACCAGTTTTCTTACAAACCAGTGCTGCTGATAACGAGTAACACAGTAAATTATAAACTTTCTAGGAAATGATTGATTAACACATTAAATGATGTTACATAAGAAATTCAGATGCTTTATGTATATCTATTTCTACCACAACGTGTCAAATGACACAATTCATTTTCAAAAAGTCGTCATATATTTAATAATCAAGGATTAGGAAATATAGGTATAGGAAGAAATATTTGTCTTTTTCTTCTTCATGTAATAAGAAATTGTTAACTCTCACAAAGTAGTACTGTAACTTGTAAGAAACTCTGGCAGTAATTTAAAAGGAATTACGTTAAAAGGGTTTGTTGTCGTAATAGGTTGTTTACTAATAATACTAAGTGAACTATTATGCGAATGAAAATTACGACTAAATTACGACAAAATTACGACCAACAGGGTACTCATTTAAAACAAGTATTAATATAACGAAGAGTTAATTATAATTAAATGAGGTACCGCTAACAGGTTAAATGAATAATAATATAAGCTTGTATAATAAAGAATAAAATCTTTTGTAAATTATTCCTAACATTTTAGAGAGAGAAATCCTTTTATTGTTTTTACCCTGGTCTCGTCAAAGGTATAAATAGACGCGTAAGTCATTGACCCAGGTGGAAACAATTAAAACAATTAAAAAAAGCTTTTCTATTTGATCATCATTTGAATCGCTCGTAATTTCTAATTGGATATTTCTTCAAGGACGATCGAATATCGCGAGAGCGTTATAAGACGTCTCTCGAAGGGTTGTCACTGAAGTGAAATGAGGTGAATTGAAGCAAGGTAAGGTGAAGAATAAAGATAAGCAGCGAACGCAAGATGTAATCTGATTCGTGCGTCGCGTTTCTTGGCCGCTGACTGCCTCGCATGGTTGAACTTAGGACTGGCTGGTGCAACTTGTATTATGTTTCACGTTACTGTGGTTCTTGTCTGGTAAATCTTGAGACTCCTTACTGCCTTTGACGATCTCGTAATATCGCGCCGCGATCAAATAATAATAATAATATGTAGGAAAACTTAGAAATATAGCATGTATAGTATTTAACTTGGGGGCTCTACGTAGATAGGACATTGGTGAGGAAAGAAAAGTTTGGAGTTTTCGGATTAAGAAAAATAAATCTAAATACATATATATGTATATATATTATTTAAATGTTTGTAATATCTTAGAGAGAGAAGGAAAATCCCAAAAAGATTTCGGCAAGTTCGATGGGAGAAATGGAGGATAAGGAGGAGATAAATGATGGTTTGCGTTTACTATTGTAGGCGTTGACCCTCTACTAGGCTAACAGAAAAGAAAAAAAGCAGAAGAGAAGAGAATAAAAGAAAAAGAAAAAGAAAAAGAAAAAAGAAGCTTCTATTAGCACGGAACAAAGATGTACTCCACACATTTAGTGACGTTAGCCGAGCATAGTCCTCGGTGGTCGTCAAGGATACGAACTAAATGCGCACGCAACGTTACGATCTCTTAAAAAGAAAGAGGATAGAGCGAGGAAAAGAAGGAGGAGAAGAGGGTTGAGGAGGATCTTGGAAGCGTCTGGAATACGCGCCGTGACGCGAGGCTCTTACATTAGAGCACCAACAAGAGATATATTCCAACCAGGCCACAATCCTACGCCACTGCCTGGATACTCGGATTTCACGACATGTTTACAAAGATCCTAGAGATAAGTTGAGAATGGCCGCCGTACAGCCCCATGCCTCCTACAGCATGGGTGTAAGGTGACAGCTGCCTGCGCCTGCGTTATGCTTGCACACAGGGTGTCCGAAAATTAGCCGGCCCGGGGACTCTCATAAATCACAAGTTCATATCATATGATTGACCGATTACAGTAATGCCTTATAACTTTGGCCAAATTGAAATTTTCATCTATATCCAAATCCTTTCTTTTTCCTTTCCATACTTTCTATCCTTTCTATCCTTTCTATCCTTTCTATCCTTTCTATTATTCAAATATTATTACAATCGTTTGATCCTTCTTTACACTTGACTCGATTTGAGACATCGACTTAGTTTTCTACGAAACTAAGCGAAGAGTTAAAAAACTGGTTTGGCGATTAACAGGCCGATAACCGACGCAATCGTTTTAATCCGCTCCCTCGACAAATGAGAACGTCGTAAAAAAGGTTTATACATTTCTACGCGATAGCGATCAATGAATTTTGCCGATTTTTCTATTTATATCGAATAGAGATTCGCATACATACATACATATATTATATGTATTTGTTCATTAAGAGAAGCCAGGACACCCCGTATAACGTGGCGAACGCGCGCTTTCGTTCTTCGTCTACTACTCTCGTCGATGTTCTCCAAAGTGTTCTTGTGTGAGAATGTGTTCCCCAATCCGCTCTCCCACACAACAATATAAGAGGGAGAAAAAGATATGTCGTTTACTTAGCTTGTTCCCTACGAGTTCACCTTCCTAAGAGCTCCATGCATCTGCATGTAGAAACATTTTTCTTGCAATCAAATATATATATATATATATATAACATGTACGTATACGATGCCATCGAGAAACGTGACGCGAAGAAATTCGACATTTTTCTTTTCTTTTCTTTTCTTTTTATTCTCCCTATATGAAATCGCTGATAATACGAATACTCGATACATAAGTCGGTATTCGGTATAATATAACTACAATTCCCACATTATATAATATTATAAATGTTATGCGCCAGATTATCGATTTGATCATTCGTCGCACATTTGACGTATCAAGGAGGAAGACAACTTGGGTCGTCTCGCGTAATTTAAACAACATTCACGTATGATAGATATATAAAAGGGTTGAATCGTGAGCTTTCTTCTATCAATTTCTAGTAAGTTGAACGAAATTACGAGCTACATTTGATTTGGAACATTCGACTCAAAGGCTCGTACTATCTTAGGACGCGTGAAACGTGTATCTATCGAAAAACGTGCCTAGAATTTTTCTTTTCTTTTGAGAGTTTATCGATTATCGTAGTTACAATAAAAATCTTGACAACATTTGGTGTATCATGTATTCCAGTTTTACTTAAAAGTTGAAACGTACACGCGTGCGCACAAACAAACAAACAAACAAACAAACAAACAAACAAACAAACAAACAAACAAACAAACAAACAACAAATTTGCACGTGCGTTCGTACGAGTTAGACGAGTTAGACAACGGCGCGGACACGGGTCGATAATACGAAAATTTCTGACGCGCCTTTAGGAGAAAGAGAGAGAGAGAGAGAACGAACACGTGCTGCCCTTTTGCACGACAAATAGGAATTATCCGAGGGACAAGAAAACGAACCGCTTTCGTCGGGGGTTGCTTCATAACGAATACTCGACAAAGGGAATTAGTATGTTCACGTAATGAAGGATAAGTGACAGGGTAGTCAGAAAAGAATCAACCATTGAACATCTGAAATGATACAATAACAAGAAATCAATCAGGAATGATAGATATTGTAAATGCATTTTTAACTCCGCCTAGTTAATATCAAGATATTTAGATAATAACTAGCTGGTCCCAAGCCCAGATAAAGGAGGAGGGTTCGAGGGTGAGGCTAGCAACCTACCCTCGGTAAAAAAAAAATAATCGCTCCCGGAACTAACAAAATAGCCTTTTCAGGCTGTGAAGTTAGGGATAACAGGATAAAATCCTAAGAAGAAGAAGAAGAAGTAAAGGCATTTTTGAAGATATTCCTAAACTGTCGAGTCGTGCTGTAAGAGCACGTCATAACGCATAATAGAACAAAGTTAGGTGCTGAACTATATGCATTGCAAATTAGGAGTATGTTAGCGCACGTCGTCCTTGGAAACTTTATGTAAAGTTTTCAGGGAAATTTGAGAATCCGTCTAACGGAGAACGCAGCAATCCACGACGATGGGGACGATGTAAGTGATGGAAGCACTGAAACAAAGTTCCTACCCCTATTTCCCTTCCTCTTTATTAGCATAATCAAAAGACGCAGGTACAAGTTACTTATCTCTTCGAGAAGTTTTCTTTTCAAATAGTTCAATATAGCTGGAAGGAACGATAAGGTGATAGATAATGCAGTTGTTATACAAATCTTTAATTGTATATGTTATTTTAATTAGTTTTTTTTTTTTTTTCACCAAAATATTTCTCCTTATCTTTTTCCATTGTCGTTGTAGAAAACAAGATAGGTTGGCGAAGATAACTAAACAATTATTATTATTATTATAACTCGATATTTCATTATCAGATCGCATTGCGAGAGAAAAAAAAGCCGAGAGTTTATTTGAACGTTAGGACAAACGGAAAAGGCTAACGTATCTCTCGGCTCGAAGGCTTGCTTATCGTATACCATGATCGATAATAAAAGAGAAAAGAAGAGAAGAGAAAAGAGTCTTCTTTCTCTGTTTCCCTCGCACTTCCGAGAAATCGAACGTTATGACGCACCGACGGCGGACCACCTCCCATCAAGAGGAACGTGTCCTTTTACGAACTTTGACCTCACGTTTATGGACGAAGAAAAGAAATAATATTTAATCGCATTCAGCCAAAGATCTGAGTTCATTCATTATCATTTGCTCGGTAGTAGTACCGCTAACGGTAGATTGCTGCTGCACTACGAGAGTTTCTTTTTCAAAAAATACATTGACAATATAGATATCCTGATATCGCTCATCAGTTAATGAGCTTTCTCGGCTTAAGGTCAAGAGTCCGCTCCTTCTCTCTTTTGTTTGTATACTTTTTTGCTTTCTCTTTCGAGTTTTTTCTCTTTTCGAAAAGGAACGTCTTGAGGAAACGATCGAAATACATCGAATTCCACCAATCGTGTCTTCTTATCAAGATCGTTCTAGGATCGTCTCCTTTAATTACTTCTTCCGTTYCCTCCTTTTCCTTCTCTCTTCTCTTTCCTACTGGCACCTTTACCATCGCCAACCCTTCCCCCTCCCCCTCCCCCCCCACTTACCTACCTTCCCGAGAAAACCTGTCTTTACGAGACGACGACAATGTGACGACGATCCAAACGAATCGTCGAATCTCGCCAAAAAACGAGAATACTTCTACTTTAAGTTTATAAACTTCGAATTTATTCTATTAAAAATTGACGAATAAGACGATTGACTGATATAAACAAAATTGATATACATATTTATAATGCAACATAGTCATTTATTTAAAACACAATATTCTACAGAGGTATATTGGAAAAATGTTCGACGAATAAATCCAAGCAATATTTTAGCAATTATTATTACTTAATATTGTAAATAATATTAAAGACATTTGATGTGTTGTAAAGTTGCATTCGAAGGACCGAATAACGGCAAGAAATTCACTAAACCGAATGAGAAAGAGATGGGGTAGTAGGAGAGGGGGTAGTAGAGAGATGGAGGGAGTTGGACGACCACGTGACCATCGGGCGGGGGTGGCCAGGCGACATTTCGCATGCTCAGAACACGCCAGGCTGCGGCGTATCGCACATTGAGGGACGCAAACAGAGGGAAAAAAGGCTAAAAGAAATTTTCAAAAGAGACTAAATACAGGAACAACGAAAGAAGAAAGGAAAACAGAGTGTACTGCTCGATTATATTCCACGGTTCGCGTCAAATTTTCGCCAAGAGTTTTCTTCGACGTTTCTTTGAAAAATCTATTAAAATTGCTTTTTATTAAAATCATATTAAACGAGAGAGGGTAAGAGAGAAGAAAGAGAAAAAGAGAAATAAACTGTTGGGGAAGAAAGAAAGTGGCTACGTTGGTGTATAGCGCGTGTGTCAGATCTGTTTCTTTCGTTTGAAAAGAAAATAGAAAAAAATCGCTAAATAAGGTGGAAACATTGAATTCCCTCTTTCCCTTTTGTTATTCTTCGATAAGTGCTTGTTTCTTTTTCTAATTGATACTTTGTTCGAATTTGTCAGTCGAAAACTGAGAAAAACAAAGAATACAAGAAAGTTTTTTTTCGAAGAAACGTGTTTGATTCGTTGTTCTGTTGGACGTAAGTCCTTTGTGGGCGAGATGCTACTATGGATGTGGAAAGTGCGAGAAAAGTGAGATAAAGAAAGAAACGAAGCAAATGATAGATTTAAATTAGAGCGAGGGAGACGATAAAGAAAAAGAAAGAAAAAACAAACAAACAACAAACAAACAAACAACATACATACATACATATAGCAACGGAAGAAGGTATACCGTGAAAGTACGTAATCAAACTTTTGTCAGGTACGTTACTCATTAGTTTTTCCAATTTTAAAATAAATCCGTTTTGTCTATATAATGTAAGATATTAGTTATATATATATATGTATTAATTTTCCTTTGTTATTTCCTCACGATATCAAAATCGCACGTGGCCCATCAACAACATTTTGAAAAACATTCTTTACAGATATGTGCAAGTCGGACGAGATCAATTTTCCAACCAATTGTAATATTTAGATTGTTCACTCGCGCGACACACACACACACACACATTGCATTGCTATTTTGTATTCGGTATACGTGGAACATGCATAAATGTTAACGCGTACAAGCTAACAGCTGTTGAAAACCGTCATTATCAATTGAGCATGCGTAACATATGCATCTAATTCGGCTCGTTACCAGTAATGTATTTTAATTGGTCTTACGCGTTCACAGTATCAGAGAACGCAAGCGTTTACTACAAGTTCTTTCGCGCTAAAGATAATCCCCCAATTCCAGATTCTAATTTAAAGGAAAACTACCATTTTTTATGGTATATCAGTTAGAAAGAAAATAAAAAATAATACAAATTGTACAAAAGAAATAAATTTACTTGGCCTTGTTTGATCGAGCCGTGAGAAAAGAAAAAGGAGAAGACAAGGATATCTCGAGGAAAGAGAAAAGTTTTTTTTTGAGAATTGAAAAGTACGCATTCGTAGGCACGTCGAGTCGTATCCATCGAAAAGCAAACATCGTAAAAGCGGTTGGTCTCTCGAATTTCTTCTCTCTATTCCTTGTACACTAGTAAGGGGTCTTCCAAAGGACCCGTACCAAAGCCTTGGGTCCTTTTGTCTTGCCCGGCTGCAACTATTCTATTTTACTCTCTCTCTCTCTCTCTCTTTCTCTTTCTCTTTCTCTTTATTTTTCTTTTTTCCCTTCTTTCGAGCGCATAAACGAAGAAGAATGAACTAAAAGGAAGGAACGAACGAACGAACGAACGAACATGCGTGTCGTGACCGAAAGAAGAAAGCTACGAGTAGCACACGTTTTCAGTTTCTTTTTTTAAGAGAGGAAGAATATCGTACACGCGTAAGTACACATACGCGAGTAAAGAACTATTTTATACGTTTGATTAAAATAAAAGTTGAATATTGTCAAGTATATGTAATATGTATCTACGCTCGCGTCTTCAGTTATATATTATGTAGTATGTAGTATGTGCGAACTAAGCAGCTTCTTTCGACGACGGACACTTTGCTGCTAGTGTAAACGGAATTCCGTTCATCTCGTTTCTTTTGCTTATCGTTCCTGGTGAAACTTGCAACGGCTGAATCAGCGTCTATCATTCTTTTCTTTGTCGTTCCCTTTAGTCTTAACAATAAGAGAAATATTAGGGACGATTACATATGATATAGTTAGGAAATGGGCCCCCCTTACGCAAGAGTCTCTTTCAGCGATGGAGTTGACGATGGGAGGTGGTCGGCGGAGGTGGTCGAAGGTAGTAGACTCCTCACGCACAAGGGCGGAGCACGCTGAGAAAAAGAGAGAAAGATAGTGTGACTTGGCAACATAAAGAATACGTAATGCAAAACGACGCGAAAAGAGATTTCATTGGCCGACTCCAAAGGTGTTCCTCGTGCACGCCTACCACCAATCCATGCTTCACTCCACCTCCTCTTTATTATTATTATTATTATTCGACACGCAATTGGCAGGGCTTAATGACGTTCTCCGTACTAACTCCGACATCCTTCCTATATTTCAATCCTCTTCGAGAGACCTGAGAGACCTGAAAGACCTTGACCACACTTACAATTATTATTTTTATTCTAAAAAAATCTAAAGGCACACACACACACCTAGAGAGAGAGAGAGAGAGAGAGAGAGAGAGACCTGTATACGACCTGTATTCACAGGTTTCACTTTTAACCCTTCAAAGTTTAATACGAAAAAAATCATGTTAATGCTATCCTGGATGAAATTTCACCTCACCGTATTATCTTTCATTTTACATAGCAATAGGAAAAACATAAATGCGATTAAAAATTTGGATTTTATTATTTAATATCGGATTAAGAGTATAGAGATTAATTATTGGCCTGAAATTCCAGCCATGATATCTTTTAAAGATTAACAAAGTCAATTATTTATTTATCAGATTGTTCATCCAACGCTGAAATTCACAAATATATAATTTGATTGAAGTAGAGCACCGTGACACATAGGCACCGTGACAATACCGGCGAGTCGTTATGCCACGCTTATTCAAGCTTTACAATAGATTTCTTTTGCCTTTTCCGCGTAATTATATTGAAGTATGTATTTAGAAGAAATTTGTGGAAGAAAGTGTGCTTGAAATCGTATTGAATTTTGTAGGTAGAGTGATATGTTAACCGAAGATAATGACCCGACAAAACCAGCAGGCGTTTTAGACAATGCTGGCAGTGTGTCTTCCTCAACAGAGGCCTCGGTACAGCACCCCCGCAATGCAAACAATGGTGGGCAATATTTCTTCTTCATTGGCTAACTTCATTGGCGTAGAACTCGAGAGAAAATCAACACTAACATTTGAAATGTCTCAATATATAGTCCTTCTTATACAATTACATTTAATTTAACTCTATTTTACGCGGTTTAACGAATTTTATATTTTTGTGTTGGTACAAACAGAAGCCGAAGTTAAAAACGAAGTTCAGGATTGTCCAGAGAACGAAAGCGTGCCAGGTAACGAATTATACATCGACGAGAATGCCGAGGAAAAGGAGCAGGAGTATCCGGATTCCATGGAGAAGGCTGACTACGGTAGTCTCTATGGCGCCAATCAATACTATAACAGGTATGCGATTGATTATCGTTGATGGAACAGTAAGCTTACGTTATATCCTAGACGTCTACGTTGTGCACGCTGTGCACGCTGTACACGCAGTGCACGCCATTGCACGCCATTGCACGCTATGCACGTTCCGCTTAGTTGTGGTCAAAGTTGATTTTAATCGGTGGTAGAAAATTGTTCAATCGATAATACAAATAAATAGAAATGTTTTTATTATTATTCGCGTTTACAAATTCGATTTTAGTATATACAATTCGCCTACTTATGGATCAACGACGGCGGCCACCAAGAACACGTCGGGCTTGCAAAGCTCTTATCTGACTTCTTACACAACGCCGAGCACGATGACGCAATATTCGTCGTATGCCGGATACAATAGCGGCACCACGACGTTTCCTAACGTAGGACAAAATATATCTTCGGCTTCTCAGGTGAAACATGCAATAAAAATGCAATAAAAATGCAATAAAAATACAAAATGAAAGAATTCAACTATGTAGTAAGATGTTACAGATGTTATATTATTATATATAAGTAAGATTTACCTATTTTTCTTCCTAGAAGTTGGACTACACTGCTTATGGTAGCAGTTTGTACGGAAACGACAGGGTACCCCTCCAATATTCCGGATATTATCCGATGCCTGGTTATCATACGAGTCATGCGTCTTTCAACATAGGAAATCTTAATTTTGCTGGTAAAATTTCGAATAAATATACATTTCAAATGAATTAATTCAGATGTGTCATAGTACATTTTCAAATAGATTTATAGCGTTATAATGTTTGATCTTTTTAATGGAAATGAAAAAGATTCAACGAAGACAGCACTGACGTTGGACACGGGTGGTCACGATGCGAGTGACCCGACCGCACGAGACCCGACCACAAACGTCGAAGGTAATACGAGTCATTTCGGATCGATCGTGTGTGATCGTGTGTTATCGTGTGTATCGTGTGTATCGTGTGTATCGTTTTTTCCCCCTTTTATTTTAGATGACAATTTTGTCTTCTAACAATATAGATATTAGAATAAATTGTTGTTCATCGTTGTTGTCAAAGTTGTTGTATAGATTAATTTTAATTTCCGTAGGAACAACAGCGAAGCCCTGCAGACGCGGCAGGCGACAGAGCGGAAGCGGAAACAGTATCGGTTCCGCGGACACAACGGAAGCCGGCCCCGATCGTATATTCATTTGGGATCTCGACGAAACCATAGTCGTGTTTCATTCGCTTCTCACTGGTCAATTTGCTACGAAGCACCGAAAAGATCCTACCCTGCTCGCACAGGTAGCCTTCAGGATGGAGGAAATGATATTTAATTTGGCCGACACGCACTTTTTCTTCAACGACGTTGAGGTCAGTCGAGAGGTCTTAGATTATTATGTTTCTTTTTCCCTCCCGCCGCTCCCTTTCCCCTCTCGAAATAGCATGTCTTGCTTGACAATATTTATTGTTATCAGGATTGCGATCAAGTACACATAGACGACGTATCGTCCGACGACAACGGACAAGACCTATCCTCGTATAATTTCGCAACGGACGGCTTTCAATGTGCTTCAGCGAACAACGGCATGTGCCTGGCCTCCGGGGTACGCGGGGGAGTCGATTGGATGAGAAAACTCGCCTTCCGTTATCGCAAGATAAAGGAGATCTATTGTAATTATCGCAACAACGTTGGCGGCCTTCTTGGAACGGCGAAACGCGAACAATGGGTCCAGCTGCGTTCAGAGATCGAACTTCTCACCGATAATTGGCTCACGTCGGCTGTCAAGTGTCTTAGTTTGATCAACAAGAGAAGCCATTGTATCAACATTCTCGTAACTACCACCCAACTCGTTCCCGCCCTCTCAAAGGTTCTCCTATTTGGTATCGGAGGAATATTTCCTATCGAGAATATTTATTCCGCATCTAAAATAGGTTGGTACGCGATTATTTTACTCTCACTCCTTTCATTAACTCTTTTTCTCTTTCTCTCTTTCTCTTTGTTTCAGGGAAAGAGAGTTGTTTCGGAAGAGTGGTGGCTCGTTTCGGTCGCAGATGCACCTACGTCGTCATAGGGGATGATTCCGACGAGGAGACGGCAGCGAGAGCGCACAATTTTCCTTTTTGGCGAATAAACAGTCATTCGGACACTCAGGCACTTTACAATGCTTTGGAAATGGGATTCCTTTAACATGTTATCCTTTAAAATACTACGAATTTTTTTCATTAACGATATATTAACGATAAGGACAAAACGAACAAATGGGTCCATGGTTAAAAAGTGATATAATAAACAAGTGCAAGCAGATATAACGACGAGCAGCAGAGATAATTGAAGAGGCGACGCTACATACCGTCAGGGAGTATTTTCTAAGTATCCGATCGAATCATCCGATCGAATCATCCGATCGAATCATCCGATCGAATAATCCGATCAATTTTCATTTTAAATTATCAATTATTTTATCATCATAAGCGTCGTATATGTGTCATGTGGAATTGGAAGAAAACAACGCAAGCGTTTTTTATGTTCTCGTAAATACGAGATGCAATGGAAAAATGGATACGTACGATTAACATACGTACGAAAACAAGTAGTCGATCGATCAAGATCTTTTCTTTTCTTTTCTTTTCTTTTCTTCCCCATTAATTAATTACGCGATAAGTAATTATCTTTTTTTTCCGTGTACTTAAAAATGTACGATACATGCGTATATATAGTATATTATCAGTTTTTTTTTCTTCCATTTTCCATTATTTTCTTTTGTCTTGCCTAGTTTGTCGACACTTGCGAAAAACAAATCTATCAGTTTGTTTTTTCATTTGCAATCGCTAATAACGAATTGTTAATGATCTCGAAGTTGCTTTGAAAGAATATATCCACTTTTTCCTATATTACGTATTATACTAGCTTGATACTCGACGTGCGTTGTAAAAAAACTAATAAATACGTGAATATTATTTTTTTGTATGGAAAATAATTTTGGACAATGTGATCGATGTGAAGAAGCAAGAGATTAGAAAATGATAGGAGATGAATAATTATTAAGAAAACAACAAATTAATGATTATATATATATATATATATATGTACACTATATAGCGAAAAGAGAGAGAGAGAGAGAGAGAGAGAGAGAGAGAGAGAGAGAGAGAGAGAGAGAGAGAGCGAGAAACAAGTGCAAGTGTGATCACAACTAATTAGGATAATTCTAGTAAAGTTTAAGATGGGACACGATTAGCGTAAATGCTAGCCAAAGTTAAAAACATTGAACGACTGTGAAAGTAATTTAATGTAAGTTTCATGAAATATAAGCTCGTTAGGGGGTGAGTGTAATTCGAAATATAATCAAGTTACATTGTACAGCGGTATTTTACATTTTATCGATCACCGAGAGAGTTAACGAAGGAGGGTAAAAAAGCAAGATGAGAAAGGGGAGACGAAACGAAAGTCAAATAATAACGAAATATCTTTTTTTTTTTTAACCATATCTAAGGAAACAAATACAAATATATCGTTACAAGTTCTACGATCGCGTAAATGCATGTACGTAGGCACTTGGAAATAAGTATTTTTCTTTTTGAATACTTTTTACTTACATACAGGGCACAAAAAACTACACATACGTTTCTCTCGTTAATAACATTTAACGAAGTGTTATTTTAGTAACTCGACCAAATCGAAAAAAAAAAAATAAAAAGGAACTAAATTGTATCAACATTTTAAAATGTTATTTAACGCACGTTACTTTTTTTGTCGCTGGTTGTGACGTAGCCATTATCGGCTCCTAACCGTTTATATGAATATTTATAAAATCAAAGATAATTATGTTATTATAAAAGATTATTATCGTTAGAAGATTTTTATAGCTATAGCGTATTTTTCTAAAACGCTTCCATCGAAGTCCTCCGATATGTCCATTTTATGTATGAACGCATATATCAATCATCATTCGCAACTTAAGCTAAAGAGATATGCGACAGATTAATTTACCTGTACTTACGTCATTCTTCTAATACACTTACCACATATCATAATCTATGTTACATTATTTGGATTTTTTTATTGTGCTAATATATCCCGATTAAGATGAATTAGATATTGCTTCTTTATTCAAATAAAGTTTGCTCATTTTTATTTTCAAATTACACGAACGTCGAGGCTTTTGACATTTTTCGCAAAATATCATCTTTAACTCTTTCCTGCTCTTTTTTTTGTGTTTTTTGTTTTTTTTTCTCGGAAAATTATTCTACAATGAGTAAGTAACGTACAATAGAAAGCATAAACTATCAACAAGTTTGTACATCATAATAGACCTTTAGGATACATAGTTAACTGCATACAGAGAGCTATGATAATTATCATTTACATTATAAAGAAAAGAAAAAATAATAGAAGAAAATAAATGACACATATCCTTGTTATATTTTAACATACGTTGGGGCAGTTAAAACGCCACAATTATTATCCTTCTGCGCCATAAGTATGTAACCATCGTTACCCCAGTAATTAGACCATGAATTTTTGATTAGCCAATAAGCCTTTCCATTCAGCGTACCATAGCCAACAGCCAAAACAGCGTGATCTAATTTATCCTCCGTATTGCCTAAATAATCATCATATAGATGTGAATTTCATTTTGACATGTTCTACTAATAATTCATTGTAATAGAAATAATATTAGGGATATTTACCGCACGCGGGTTCGTAATAAACACCATGCGAATAAAAGGAAAATGTCTTGTGTGATGCGTCAATAGCTACAGAAATTGGACCATGCTTGGCTAAAGCTATCTTTAAAGCATCCGCATCTCCTGATGTAACATTAACGTATCCCGAAATCTTGGCCGTCATAGTAACATTGTTAATATGACAAAATCCATCCTAAATGATAACCCAAAATGTTTGTATTTTACATTAGCAACATTTTCGACGCGAGTTACGATCTACAAAATTGCCGCCGCTGCCGCCGCCGCCTCACCTGACCCATATAACCACCATATTCATCTTCAGAAGGTATTCCTCCATGTTTCATTATCCACTGATAAGATCGGAAATCCTCGCCACCGTCGCATCCGTTATTACCAAAGCCCCATGAACAGTCGATGAGAGCCTTAGCCAAAGAATTCATAATTGTAAGATTGTAAGGATTAATAGGAATTTATTTTGATGAAATTGTTCTACCTGTTGAGATAAGCGCACTAATTTTCCATATCTCATATAATACGCCCCTTCCACTGCACCGGTCGAGCCAAAACTCCAGCAGGATCCGCAAACAGATTGATCTGCGATATATGCGATTTCGTTATTGTCTAAATTTATACAATTCCATAATGTTACCTTTAACGGGCGTCACAGCACCATACAGCCTCCAATCTAAATTGTCAGGAACACTAGTTATTTCTTTTTGAATATCATGAGGGAATGGTTCGCCTCCGTTGTAACCTCCCGTATATTGTTTTCCACGTAAAGCATACATTTCTAAAGTAGACATATCGGCCAGGTGATTCACTTCCAATTGATACCCCAAATTGGCACGATTGATAGAATGAATAAATCTGTCAAATATCCCATGGATTTTATTTTCGTCAAGAATTTCATTCGAAAAGAAAGGAAAGAAAGGAAAGAAAAGAAAGCAAAGAAAACTATATAAACCTTAAATTTTGTCGAAATACTTCCTTTCGTCTAGCATGTTCGGTTTCGTTCTTGTAATATTTTTGATGAGTTTTCTTAAACTTTTTAAATGCTACATTTACGTGTTCATCATAATTATGAATAAATTCTTGCATAGGATTGAACGTATAAATATGATTATCACCAGGTCCAGGGAAACTAACGCACGTATTATCTAAAATGATATGATATTTGTGTAGTTCCTGAACAAACAAATATTCTCAAATTAAAAGGAAAAACGTGATTAATACTTTCTGTAACTTTGAACACATCCGGACTGGGAGCATCGAAAGAGTACCAATCATAATCCAAATAGTAATGATCGTAATGGGAACCAAGTAAACTGTTAAAACCAATCATTTCATATTTCACTGGTATGGGTTCTTTCTTTTGTGGCAGATGTGGAGATTTCTATGGAATAGTATGTATATTCGTATAATAGGAAATATTGATAGTCCAACTTTTGTAGGAATCATAAATTAATACATACCTTGTAACGTATCCATAGTGTATATTTATTTTTTTTATCTCCATAGTTTTCAACGAGTCTCCATTTTTCGCAAGGCAAACCATTTACAATTTCCTCTCCGATACACTAAAAAATTCATCATCATTTTGAATAAAGTAATATAAGTTGTGTGCGTGTGGTGAGTAGAGTAGGGAAGAAATAATAGTTACCTCCATTCCAGTCGTATCTGGAATAATACTCTGTGGATGAATTTTAAAATTACTCGATCCATTTACTTGCAGACACGTTTCTTCGTTCATGACAGATTCTGTAGTGACAGGTGCAATTTTGATACTAGCACCGTATGATCCTTCACCGCTAAGTTGGAAAGTTTTAACTATTCCTGAAAAAAGAAGAGACAGAGCAATCGGTCGTGAATTATACCATTTATACCCAAGGAAATGAAATAACAATAGCGTAATTACCTCCATAATAGTCTATTCGACTAGATCCACTTTTTCCATCGTACCAGGCATAGAATGGTTCACGTATTTCAGCATATGGAATATACAATGTACCTTTCACAGTATAGGCATTACTAAATGTCGGTGATTTGAGATTTGTGGCATAAGCAATACCTGAAATAATATCAATTCGTTGTAGACTCTTTAAGAAGTTCCATATATAATCTTTAGAAATAAAATACTGAAAGTAAACTTACTGCAAAGCAGTAGGACACACAAAGCACATTCGATTCGAGTCATCGTAAGTATTTACCTACAATAGAAATACTTTCCCAAGGGAGTATTCCTAAAAATAAAACAAAGAAATACTAATACATTTTAAACAATAATTAGATTTAATAAGAATTAATAAGGAGGTACCTATGTATTTTCTAGATGCGTAATTTATTTCTTTCCAATGGCTTTGGTTACTACTTTCTTTGAAACTCTTCTTTGTGACGCTAGCGAAATGGCTTAGCGAAATGGCTTAGCGAAATGGTTGTATCTTTTTTTTACGCTATCTTATCTACAAGGAAACAAAGTAAAATATAAAAAAAGAAAAACAAAACAATGGCAAGATGCCCTCTGTCATACTTCTTATAATTGTGTTTCTTGGTATACCATAATAGATGGATTACATATGTAGTGTCAAAAGTCAGTTTGGGTATTACCAAGTATAAAATACTAAAAATCCCCAAATCAAAATGGTATATATATATAAATATATAATAGAGACTTTAAATTTGTTGTATGCGCCTCGTGGCATAAATAGTACCGGAAGTTGCTGTTGCGCCCTCTACTACTGGTCGAGTTTCCGGTTAAAAGCAGACGCTGCAGTCGTCCTACCTGTGCAGGTAGTTTCTTAGTACGCGTTAGTCAAGTCTTACGTCAACACTGCTTACTTTGGTTTTTTCCAATTATTTTTCATGGAATTTATTGTTAATAATGTCATTGGTGTCCGATGCGAATCCTGGTATAGGTGTACCAGCAAGTATTGTAAAAAAAAGTATAAACTTAGATGTTTTGGAAAAGATTGAAAATGATTTGGACATTGAAGATATAGTTTCAATTTTATTTTTAATGGTCTGTGATTATAAGAATGCATTTTCTAAAATATATCAACTTTATCGTAAAGCTAAGAAAGACGGAACATGTGTAATTTCTGAAATTGTCAAAGACAATGAAGAAAATTGGGAGGACAAATTTTTAGAATCTATTTGTGTTTGTAACAATAGGAAGGTTATTAAAAAATTAGGACTATGTTTGAAAGACTTGGAAACAAGGTATTTACCAAAAAATAGATTTTTTAAGCAAACATTAAATCCTATTGCAAAATGTTTATACGTATTATGTGAATCTTTAACTACGGAAGAAACAAAAATGTTATTGCGTCTTGTTAAAGAGGATAAAGTCAAATATGAACCAACATTGGATGATGTGGATCAATTGGAATTACATCTATTATATTGGATGAATATCGAATATATTAGTATTTTATCAGGTAAATCTTCTTTAGAAGATGCTGCTCTTGCATATTTCTTTAAATCGTTGATATGATTTAGCGTGTTTTATAAAATAACATTGTGTTAATAAGTAATGAATCTTCAGAAAAGCGAGGAAATTTGAAAAATTTGTTGAAACATTTGAAGACCTTTGATGACATAGAGTTAATAACTGTAGACTTGGCAAAGTATGACGAGCAACATCATTCGTATTCATCGAGCACGGATACTTCGGAAAAGACAACATTTTCTATACAAAATTTCAATAAATCTAATCTAATAGAAATAGAAAATAATGACAAGAGTATACGTCAAATAAAAAAAGGATTGTGCGTAATTATAAATGAAATGTATTTCCATGGATCGCAGGTAATATGCAAACTTTAATGTGCAAATATTAAAATATGTTATACAATCGATAATAATAAAAATCGTTATTAATTTTAGTACGAAACTCGTTATGGAACAAATGCAGATTCTGATAAATTATCGAAAACTTTCAAAGGATTTGGGTTTGCTGTTCATATTTTTGAAAATTTGAAGAAAAACGAAATGCTTTCAAAAATCCGAAATCTATCGAAATTATTTGGCTCCGATTATGACTGTATATTTGTATGCATATTAAGTCATGGTTACAAAGGTAAAAATAACAAAAACGTTATATTTACTTTTGTAAAGATGTATACTACTAAAGAAAGTTTATACGTTTAGGAGGTATCATTACGTCGGACGAAGCAGAAGTATCCATAGAAAGTATTGAAAATGCTTTCTGTTGTTCAGAATTTACTGAAATAATAAAAATAGTTATTATTCAAGCTTGTCAAGGGAAAGCAGTAGGTGAGAGTGTAAATATATTCAATAATATTTGATAAAGAACAATTCATTGTATTTCCTTGTAATTTTTCTTTTCCAGGAAAAGTTGCTGTTAACGAGAACTCGTTAGTAACGGATGGCCTGGATGATCTTGTGCCAGCAGATATAACGGCGCGCAAAAATTTTTGCATCTTTATGTCGACGTTGCAAGGCTATGTGTCTATGCGCGATAAATTACGAGGTATTAGCAGAAAATTGAATATTGTCAAGAAATCTTTTTATATACTATCATCTTTCATCATTTTTTTTTTCTAATCATTTATATTTTGATTTTCAATCTAGGTTCCTGGTTTATTCAAGAATTTTGCGATATACTCCAACAAAAAGAAAGAAAAGTAACGTTTTTCAATAGTGTTTTGAAAGTTATGCAAGTGGTACAAAATAAGCGTGGAATTATGCGTGACGAATTGGTGTCTCAGTTACCCGAATTACGCATGCTTCGTTTGGATACTGATTTCGAATTACCTCAGTACACTGGCCATTAAATGACAAATTTTGATACACTTTTTTATCTACGAGAAGCGTTTTTTAATTTAATTTAATAAAATTTAGTAATATTGAATAAATGGCGTGATATTAGATCTAATAATATAATTAGGTATAGATTAATAAATGTTTCCTCGTATTAAGCAGATTTTTAGGAATAAGGTTTTGCATCAAACAGAGATATAATATATGTATAGATATTATTAGATAACATTTCTAATGATTTTGTTGAATTTCGCAGGCGAAAATTCTTGGTTTCGCGCGATTCTCCTGATTGTCTTTTACGAATCTATCAGTAATTATTCTAATGATAAAGAAATATATTAATTCGAAACCAGACATAAGACTAAATCCAACAAACAAACCCAAAAGTCCTCCGAACGACGCTGAAACGAGTAATTTCAATTGTAATTTTGTAATTCAATGCATTATGTAACTATGTCTTGTTGACTTACCAAACAAATTACGCCAATTATAATGAACGCTTCGACGATACTGAATGGCTACCAAATCGCTAAAGAATACATGGATTATACTTTGATTTTGGAATCCTTTGTATTTTCTAAAAATATATTAACACGGTGAGAGAGAGAGAGAGAGAGAGAGAGAGAGAATAATATAAAACGTTGATTTTTGATCGACTAGACGACTTAAAAGTTCGTTACTTGGTTTTTTTTAAGAAATGAAATCCATCGAAAGAAATGTTATTATCCAGAATCCCTTGGGAAACGTCAATTGGATATCGAAACAAGGTACAATCGGGAACACATCCACAGGGTCTCTTGTCTATCTCGTCCAAATTTTTTGTCCGATATATTTGCTCCATGTCGATACTTTCTCCAGGCCACGACGTATCGTACCATGCTACGAGAGATTACCATTATCCATTTACCCTATTTTACCCCATTTTATTAGTTCCAAATAAGTGAGATCAACTTTTTCTCGATTACTACTTACATCTGTGTATCGATAAACATTTGACGTCTTTTAAATTACAAACTCTTGTTTCTAAAACGAGGATGTTTAGAAAAAATGTGTTATTTAGTTGGAATGCTAGACATACTTACCACTCGGTGGAAAATAATAAGGAATGCAATCGCACTTTTTCCTGATGGTATTGGCACGACATTCCGCCATGCAGTTTATGTAAGAGTATTTTTCTGACGTTAATCTTCTATACTCGATGTTTTTATCCTCAAGTATCCTATCCCCTTCATCGCTGAAAACACAATTTCGCGTGGAAATGGCGAGATTTTTAACGTCCAACGTCGCGTAAGTTTCTTCGGGCGAAATACTGAGGAACGCTTGTTTATTCATATCGATCAGCTTGTCGTTCGCATTGTGGTCCGGATAATCGTACGGGTAGTGAACCAAAACCTTTCAATAAGTTCTATCGGTAGATTCAAATGTGTCGTTAAAAGTTTGACATTATTTTCATTTACCTTTACACCAAAAGATCCAAGAAGGGTAGCCAAATAATCATCCGGATCGGGATCCACCGTTACGGCCAGACCAGTTTGATATCCGCAAGCTGGTATTCTTCTCGGTTTCCAACTTTGATAAGAGAATAGTTACGATTAAATAAAAGAGATTAAGAGATTAAGACAAATCTGTCAGTATACTTGTAGATATTTCCATACTCGATAGAATTTTCCATATTGTTGGACGATACATAATTGAAGCTGCAACAGAGACCGTCTCTGGTTAAGCTCCGATTAAAGAATTTGTCACAATCGAACGAGTCGTCGTTCCACTTGCACAATTTTACGAGATCGCTGCAGTTCCTTGTAACCTGGCAATGTGATTTTTGTTGTCTTATTTATTTGTTAAGTTCTTATTTTACAAAAAATACTTTACTAACCTTTTCCATTACTTCTGGTATCGTTAATCGATTATCGTCAAGGATGTTTTGTAAACGGGTTAGATTTTCCGCGACATCCTGCTCGAACACGCCAGGATCGAGTAATTCTAAGAGTAGTCGGAATTCTTGAACTAAAAACTCTTTGGATATATTTGATGGATGATTTCTACGAGAAGATTTGCATCTTGGTATCTTGGTATTTTGATAATTCGGGTACACCCTGCTTATTATATGTATGCCATGTGTACTCACAACATATCGACCAGGCTTCTCGTCAAATTCAACGATATTCGATTGATATTGCAAATCGTAACAGCAGGAAACGGATAATTCCATATACCTCGATGAGTAGTCTCTATCACCGTGAGCGTTGGATGAGAAGCATAGTAATCCCAAGCAATTTTCATCAGGACAATTGCACAGCAGAAGGAGGCAAACAAAACGATGGCCCAAATTATTCTAAACAAATGCCATATTTCTATAATAATATCACCATCAATAATGGTCCACGGTAATAAAGCGCCGAAATAAATATCGGAAAAATAAAAAACTTCCTACCGTTCAATTTTGGAACGTTGAGATTGTGCGACGTACTTGTATCCGTGAAGCCCCGTAGCGAGACAAAATTCTCGTGCTTGATTTTTCAAAACGATCCAGAATATTTTCTTCGACTCGGAAGAATCTTTTTTCTTGTTCTTCCTTGGCAACCTTTTCATATTTTAGCGCGAATTGAAGCTCTCGTTAAACGAAAAGGCGAGCTAAACGAAAAGGCGAGCTAAACGGAACGAGCTATACTCTAAAGCAGAATGTCGTGCGTACGATAGTGTAAGACTTAACGACTAACGACATTAAATATTCATTCGATGTTTTTCATCGATTCTCCTCCTCGTCGACGCGATAAATTCAACCTAACCGATTATATTCGATATGCAAATGGTAAGTAAGGGCATCGATCGGGAGAAAAGCACGCGCGTTTCATAGAAAAGTGAACGTAACCTAGAGTTTTCTTTTGGTGACCTTGGCATTAGACAGTACTTTTTTTGCTATTAACACGTGCACGAGTAGGGTAAGATTGTTGCAATACTTGTTTGCAATTTTTCGAGTACACTCGTCCTGGTCGTTGGATCAAAATGAATGTTCTCGATTTGGTCGCGACGCAAGGAAGGCAAGCAATATTAAAAGTCGAAATGTATCCTCGAAATGTAGCAGTTTCGTAGATTCCCTTTCCCTTCAGGCTCTCTCGTTGACTCGAGGACTGTCGGCCGAGTGACTCGGTTGTTCGGATATTAAACTTTGAAGATGCCGCTTCTCACCGTTCTGGCGTGTCTGACTCAGCGAGTGTCATTAATAACTTGGAGGAGATAGATAAAGTGTTAAACACCGTGAACCGTGTGCTCGAGCACACGTCATTACCCTGACTACCTACTAAAGGACCCTGATGCTAATGTAGCTCGCGAATTGGCTTCTAAATATAATAGACGCGACCTAGGGAATATCGTAACGTAACCTACCGATGTCGAGACAAAGCTTTTTTATTTCTTTTTTGCTTGGGTGCGTAAACCATATCGATATAATCCAATATTAGGGCGATATCGCTGCGGCACGAATTCAACGAGCCGAGGAACTTTCGTTAGGCGACGAGCTTTTAAATCGGCGCGCCGGGGTTGAATACTGGGAAAGGGGCGAAAACTGGTATTTGATATCAGCCACCCTAACGATTCTCAGAGACACTTAAAGGAAGGAATCGCGCGACGCGGGGGAACAAGAAGATGAAGAAGAAGAAGAAGAAGAAGAAGAAGAAGAAGAAAAACGTTAATGGAGACAAATTCGAATCAATTGTAAATCGTTGTATTATTTAAGGATCCCTGAGAGGAAGGGCTGCGTTTATTTCGAAGAAAATAGAGTAAACTCGTGGAGGAGTTGCTTTAGGAAGTTCGCAGTTTAGTCTTTAAACGCGAGTATAGTGGGGTCATTTTAATTATGAGATAGTTCATCCAGCCTTCTCGTATAGGGAAAATTACTGATCGCTGGGTCGTACCGAGGCTGGTGGATGGGGTAACAATGTATTATGCGTTCACCCTGTCAGCCCCTCGTGCTAACCGCAAACCCCTTCTATTCATCCCCAACAATTCGTTAACTGCTATCGAATTGACTTCTACGGCACGGTTGGTTTAGAGCTTACGCTCGTTAAACTTTCTCCGTTTCTATGTTTCTAGCATTCGACGAGATTCTTTTACCTCTTTCTACACCCCCCCCCCCATCTATTTTTTCGATTTTTCTTTTGTCAGGATGGAAAAAGGTGACGTTCTTATCGTTGGAACTGGGACAACGAAGTGGATGGCAATTTGTCAAAGTTTGGAAAAAATCGAGCGAGGGGTAGCTCGTCCGATGGAATTGTTTAAAACTACCCCGTAGGAAGGTTTCACGGCTTTTCAAGAAGAAGATGGGGAAAAAAAAAAAGAAAGAAGAGCTTATAGATAGTATACCTATATGAAGAGTTTCCCGGGGATTTGTATCCATCTATATAGCATCTGTATTACGAGGGCGATGGGGATTGCATGATGGGGATTGCATTATGGGGACGACGTATTTCGCGGCACATTGAGTCGACGGACTTAAAAATACACCCGCCGCCGCTGCCGCCGCTCTTTTCGTTCTCAACGAAAAACATTGAGATCTATCGAACTCTCACCCCATCAGCTCCAAACAATCGACTTTTTTTTTTACACCCTTATGTCTTGATTTTCATTAATATAACTCTTTTAGATTATTATTTATATATTTATACCTGCAATTCTCGATATTATATTTATTATGTGTATTGTAAAACACACATGCTATTTCATATAGCATTGTTCTTCTTTTATTTAGTCTTCCTCGAGGAAGGTTTTTTTCTTTTTAGAAGACTCGTCTTATCCTCCTTTGGCATGTGCACGTCGCCGTACGATTCGATTCGTAAAAGAAGAAGGGAAGCACATAGTAGAAGGGAAGTACATACGGAGCATATAGGGGTTTGCACGCGGGGAGAGATTTTATGGGGGCTCCGAGTATATTTCCTGATTGAGCGAACTAATCCACGCAAAGGAGGTTTTATCGTTGAGGTATACCTAATCGAAGGGGCTCGGAGCGATCGTCATTCTAGTGTCTTTCCTCTTTCGGTATCTTCGATCGCTACCGATATTTTCCAATAAACGACTAAATATTCTCCATGACTAAAAGAGAAAGAAAATAGGACTCGTTAGAATGATATTTACGAGAACGTAACGTCGTATCGCGTTTTTCTACCAGTTCCTCCAAGGGAGTTTGTCGCAAATTCGTTCACGAGTGTTTACGATAACCCATCATCCCCTTGGATATTCTCTCGAGTTTTCTTCGATTCCAACGGCAAAGAAAAGAAGAGGTAAGAAAATATTCTTTTTTTCTTTCTTTCCTTCGCAATTGGCGCAACCTTGAATTCGAAACACGGTCTGGGCGGTTCTTCGATGCTTTTAATCGTAACTTTTAAGCTGGCCCAGTGACGCGAGCCGAATAGAAAGCCACGGTTTTATATCGTCCCTAAGATAGTTTCTCTATTCTGATACGCTTGTATTTATAGTGATTGGGGTAAAAGAAGAGAGGATTGTGAAATAGAATGAACGTGCATTTCAATCTCTATACTTTGTTTCCAAAATCTGTATCTGCTTGGTTGGTAGGTTAAAAAGAAGAGAAAGTAGTTGGGGCAAACGTATGGTCAGCCTGAATCTGGTTAATGTGTGGACATAGAAAGAAGGAGAGAGAGAGAGAGAGAGAGAGAGAGAGAGAGAACGTGTTCACGAGCCGCGTCGGGATCGAAGAAATGAATATTCAACGGTAAACACCGCTTACGCTTGTAAAGGGTTCCCATACGAAGATGTAAGCGGAGATAGAGACGGAGGGAAAGAGACAAAAGTCGACTCATCTCGCTCTATCTCTTTCCTTTTAAAACAGGGAACGAGAGAGCTCGTGACTTGTGTGGATATAAAAGCTCTCTCTCTCTCTCTCTCTCTACGTCTCGTACGAGCTGAGAGAAACGTTGTTTACGATATTACATCTATAATACCGGTCAAGTGGGCAACGTCCAGTCGTGGTGTAATCTCCTCTGCAGCAGGACCTCATTCCTGGACCTCGTTTCTGCCCAGATACAGCACGTTGAGTCTTTTGAAATTATGATAATGTGCTAGCGGACTTTCTAAACTGGAAAACTATCGTTTTATCCGGTCTTATCTCGGTAACAATAAGACGGTGTATCTTCGAAATCGATTACGACTGGATGCTGAAAATGTGCAAAGAAACGTAAACATATTTCTATTGAAAGAATCATTAGTTGTTAACCGTAATTAATGCAAGCAACCAACGTTTCGTTGGAGATAGCTATTCGTGTCTAGTGCAGAATCCAAAGGACACGGGACAAACACCGTTCTACTCGGCTAAAGGGAAAAGAACTGCCTGTTTTGATTCTGGACGTTATAGGAAAGACATATATCACTTGATCCACCCTATTGCCATAGATGCCAGTAGTTAGGGGTAGCGATGCCGGGTAAGGTCCACTGGACGCGACTCGATTTATTGCTTCGTTCGATATATATGATTATTTAAATCTCATTCCAGTTGGACGTCGTCGTCGTCGTCGTCGTCGTCGTCGTCGTTTACCAACGCCTTTTTATCATAATGATTATCTTTAGACGTTGGTTTTGTTAASAAAAAAAAAAAAAAAAAAAMATTAACGAGGTAAGACGACAAAATAGGGGAAGAAAAGGGAATGCATAGGTGTTGTAACGCAGGAGGAATATGAAAATGGAAGTGCGGTTGGAAATGCGTTCGCGAATCTCGTTGAAAAATATTCGAAGCACAGGGCGCATTTCACGCCTAATTTCGCGCAAATTCGCCGTCGAATATTCCACTCGTGATTCTCGTTCTCGATCTCATGCGGGCCACGTGCCATTTATCTCGCGGGAAAGACGTTACCAGTAAAGATATCCTGCCACGCCGCGCGAATTCATATTTATCGTTCGGTATCGTTCGATCGTAGTTAACTGCAAGACTTTGAACGTCAAGAAAACAACAGTAGAGACAAATTTGAAAGGAAAGGTAAAAGGAAAGATAAAAATGAACGGGATCCTCTTGCAGATTAATTACCAAAAGTGTGTGCGAAAAAAAGAGGAGAAAGGTGGACACGAGTTGTACCTAGTCTATATTTCTTTCTCTGTGCGAGCGTGTGCGCACACGCTTGCAGAAATTCATTAGGGGTATCTGATATTTCTGGTGGGTGCTTCGCGCCGGAATAAATCATAGCAAGGGAGCGAGCAAGCGTCGACTCGCTTCTTTCTCGCTGCACGCGCGATCCATTCGCGTTTATCTTCGATCTCGTATGAGTGAGAGAGAGAGAGAGAGAGAGAGAGAGAGAGAGAGAGAGGAAATGGGGGATGGGAAGGCTAAACGATCGAACGTGATCCGAGCTTAAAGCGTTCGTGCTGGACATGGAGAAAATCTCGTTAGGAACTCGAGGAGAGTGTCCCTCTTTACGTAGCTCTGCGGACGAAGCAAGGAGCTTTGCTCTGTCTCAAGGATATCGGGGATCGACTCAATCTTAGAGGCATATTCGTGATCGTCGAAGCGTGCTACAAACCTTACTACCGTCTTACCAGTTACCTTAGAAGATTGAAATTAATTTCGATATTGGACGATTGAAAACTCCTTTTACCTCTTACGCGGACCATCGTCCTCCTCTCCAAATTCTCGATACGAAGATTACCAACAGAGATAGTTGGTTCTCTCGTTTTCTTTTTCTTGCCAAAGGGAGGAGGATACAGGATACAGGATACAGGATACAGGATACAGGATCAAATAGAGGGATTTGAATATCCAGCCCTTTTCTCGAGAGGCTGTTGCACACTTTGAAGAGAGTCCTTTGCTCGGTCAAATCCTTTTTCCTTGCTGCGTGCAAATTATTCATACATTACCGAATAGAAATTAATTTCACGGGGCGGCGAGGCCGTAAATCAAAAGCGTTCCGCTCTATAACGGGTAGACCCTAAATCACGTCGCGGTAATTGCAGTACCGTGCGCGCGTTATACGTACCGGAACCAACGCTTAACGAACAACGGATATCGAACGGGAAAAATCGAAAAGTAACCGAGACAAATTCTACGAGACAAGGACGAAAAATAAACTTAAAAGGAAAAAGCGAAGCAGGCGTGCAGCCCTTAGCGAACGCGCAAAGGAATATATTTTCTACCCTTATCGTCGAGGTTAACAAGGAATAGCTCGAAAAAATTTGGAGCTAGAGGCACGTCAAGGTACGACGTATCGAATTCAACAACCTATCTCGATTCTCGGGTCAGTTTAAGGGAACCTACGCAACATACATATATAGAACTCGTTCTTTTTTCTTTCGCGGGCGAGAATATAAAAGACCGACCGTCAGTTTTACCACCCCCGTTCGGCAACAAGGCTAATTTTTTCCCAAAGACCCTTCTCCGAATCGAGATCACGTATGCTATTCTCGCCTCCGGGCACGATATTCCTTCCTTGCAATTTCACGCATACTATTCTTTAGCAATTCCGGAAAAATGTTGGATTGTAATCGTGTATTTTCGCGCGAGAAGAGATAAAACTGTCGCGTCTAGTGTGCGTAGAGTGATCAGGAACGTGTCTCTCGGTCAGAAGATTGCACTCGAGTACAAGCTACGAAGACGATCGAGCGACTCTTGGGGCTCCAGTAGAGGGAGGATACCGTGAAAGACGTATAGAGACGTTTTTCGACTCTGATAGAGAGAAAGAGAGAGAAGGAGAAGAAAGGACCGTGGCTAGTGATTGGATTACAGTCAGGGAGTCCCCGTGGACTCGCCAAATGACCGGGACAAATTGCCCCTCGCCTTCGGGAATACTTATATATATCCAACGGCGATCGAGCGTGTCTCTTTCTCTTTCCTTTTCGCGAAAGAAACGTCGTTACCAAGGAGTCTTGTATATTCTAAGGAATCTTCAATGAACGAATACACCTATGGCAACGTTTCTTCTCGAGTGATATCAAGTCAATCGATTTGGTATTGATCGATATCTCCGTAGAAAGGATCGATGGATCCTCCGATCCTATTTCTTCGTTCACGACGTAATAACTGGGCGTTTACCCCATTGTTTATAGTCTCTTAGGATCGTAAATCCTAGTAGTGCTGGTGGTGGTGGTGGTGATGGTGGTGGTGATGGTGGTGGTAGTTAGGTGTTACTGCTCGGCTAGAATTCGAAAGGATCGAAACGACCGACCGAGGAAAAAGAGGTTGGCTCGCTCGTTCGCGGACGATAGTTGCATCGTCTCGTTGTTGCACCAACCACCCTGTGCATTCGTAAAAAGGGGATGGTAACGACTCTCTCAGGATCTCTCGAAGCGCTGTCGTCGTCGAAACGCTCTTGATTCGAGCTTTTACATGCTCTCGCTCTCTTAGGACGTGTAAAAAAACAAAACGACCTGTCACATAAGTTTCCTCCAATGAGTCATATCTATTGTCCTTAATATTCTTCCAGGAATAAAATCTCGCATTGAAAGTGCGTGGATTAGAAAAAGTTGAAGGAGAAAAATAGACTAGAGTAAGACGGTGAATCGAAGAAACTAGACAAAGGTTCGAGTCTCTGATCAAAGGTACCAGCAGCGATTAGTTCGGCCATTAAAGAAATC